TCTCTCTCTCTGAGAGTACTCTCACAGACACCCCATCCCCAGATGACTGAGCCTGTGAAGTGCTCACAGGGGGTACTCAGGGTTCTGCAGGAACAAGGCACTTCCAAAGGGAGACTGCAAAATCTTCCTGTCCAATTAAAAATAGAATGTTAAGAAAAAAAAAAAAACCAGAAACTGGGCTGGGGTGCAGCTTAGTTGGTAAAGTGTGAGGCCCTAAGTTCCCAGCAGGCGTGGTGACTATTGTAATCGCAGTGCAGGGGTAATGGAGGCGGGTGCTCAGTCAGCTGAGCCTGTCTGTGAGTCTGTGAGCTCCAGGCTCAGGGGGGACCCTGTCTCAGGCAGGCAGGTAGAGAGAGATGTTAAAATGTACCTGACAAATGACGCAGAAGTGCATATACACACCGAAATAAAGGTCAAAAAAAAGTAAAGAGATAACAAGAATAACAGAAAATGTACAGTTCAACGAGACTGCTGCCTCTCCTGCTCTCGGGTTGGAGACAGGGCAGCCCTAGACAAGACTGAAATGTAGGTGACCACCTTTGTGAGAACAAACTCAGTTATTCAGTTCAAACTGAAGTCCGGCAGAGTTGAAGGACGACGTGGCCTGATAGAGCACATAGTGATTTAATTCTTCCCTCCAGGCTCCAGCACCCTCTTCCAGTCACACTATTTCCTTTCTCCCTTTTGCAGTTAAAAATCTCTGCAGGAATTATCAGTAGAGCTGAGCCTGGTGGCACACACCTGACCTAAGGAAGCTGAGGCTGGTTGTAGGCCAGGGTTGGTGGGGCGCTGGAAAGTGCATGCACGCACGCACACACACACACACACACACGTAACCCCAGTACTCAGAAAGTAGATAAGGAAGTAAGGAGTCATCCTTGGGCTGGAGAGAGAGCTCTGTGGTGAAGAACACTTACTGCTCTTCCAGAGGACTTGCAAAGATCCTAGAACCCACAAATAAACTCACAGTTCTGGTCCCGGGGGATCTGTTGCCCTTTTCTGGCTTTCTCAGGCACCAGGCATGCACATGGTGCAAAAACCAGCCAATCCCCAGCACCCTCCCTACACCTCTCCCAATCTGTACTTTAACAGGATCCTCAAAGTTCTAGAAGTGAGGGCTGGCTGGGCACACAGGACATAGCTCATCTGGTAAGAGTCTCTGCCTAGTATACACAGCCCTGGGGTTGGTCCCACACCTAATAGACTGGGCAAGGTAGGGCAGGGCTAAAGTCTTAGCACTTGGAAGGTGAAGGATCAGGAGTTGAAGGCCATCTTTAGCTCAATAACAATCTCAAGGCCTGCCTGGGCTGTAGGAGACCCTGTTTCAAAAACAAAACAAACAGCTGCTCCAAAACCTCAACCTACTGAGGTTCAGAGTTAGTCAGAACTATATTTGCCCCAAACCTAATTTGCATCCTCTAATATCAGTTTTATTAATAGTAACTGGGGCCAGCAGGATAGCTCCGTGGGTTAAGGCGCTTACTACCAAACTTGAAAACCTAGAATTTGATACCTATGAGAGGATGGACTCCTGCAAAGCATCCTCCTACCTCCACACAGATCCATTGCCTGTGAACATACACATGATAAAGAAACATGATAAAAAGACAATGATGATGTGGTCTCCATCTACCTTTTTCTTCTCTCAGTTTATTTTAAAATGAATAGCAATGGTACTGTGTGGCTCCCTCAAACCCCTTACCATCTCCTGTTGCCCAAGCCTGTGGTCATTGCTCAGTCCTTGTTTTTGGCTCATCAGCCTCACAGGATGTGGCAACTGAGCCCTTCCTCTTCAATACTTCCTTACTCTGGTGGCCAAGTGTCCCTTTAGAGACCTCCAAGGCCATTCTTCTTCCTCTTTGTGGGACCTTTATGTATTGAAGTCCTCCTCCTGACCTGTATGTATGAAGTGCTCGGAAGCTCAGCCCTCCTTGCCTGTCTGGAGCCTTCATGTCCACAAAGACCGTCTACCATCTTCAACACCCCAGGAAGCTGCAACACTGCTGTTTTGCTGAACCTACCTGAACCTACCCAGTGAACTCTCCTTTCTCCTCTGCAGCTCCATGCAGATTTTCATCAAACATGTTCTTGTTTTGTGATTAAGATTTCACTATGTAACCCTAACAGGGCTTGAATTTAAAATCCTGTCTTAGCCTCCATAAATGCCAGGATTACAGCATGAACCATCACACCCAGCCTAATTTGATTAGAAAAAAATAAATTGCATTTATCTTTTATGTGTGTGGGCATGGGTGCCAGGGTGTGCATGTAGAGGTCAAGGGATAGCTCATAGGAGTTAGTTCTCTTCTTCTACCATGTGGAAAAATGCTGATAGAACCCACATCATCAGGCTTGGTGGCAAGTGCCTTTACTGGCTAGATCATCTTGATGGCCCAACACACTCAACTTTAAATATGTTAGTTCCATCTTTAACACATACTGAGTCTGACCTTACCTCTGCAGATCCTGCTTCTTCATCCATGCCACAGTCTCTGGAATACAGCCTACTTCCTAGTCTTGTCTCTGTGAATCCCAGACTGTTTAGGAACATGTCATGGGCCTCTCAGATGCTTTCACTAGCTTCCCATTTCACTTTAGCCCTATGTCACCATGTCCTAGCAGCTTCCTGGTAACTCCTAGCACTCTCCCCTGTATTGGCTTCACATTGGCAGCTCTGTCCAAAAGATTTGATTTCTTTGCTTGGCAACTTCCCTAACTGGAGGGTGTGTGTGTGTGGGGGGGGGGGGGGTTACATGGCCTACCCATGTGATGCAGGACTCGATTGAGTGCTATCTCCTAAAAGGGCCTGTCTTACCTAGATGCCTCCTGTCTAACCATCCCTCTCATATTTCATTTAGCTTTGTTTCCTACATTCACTGTTAAAACATGGTTCTGGCCAGATCCCACAGCCTGAAGAAATCAGGCCAGGCCTCCTGAGAATAGACACTGTTGGTACTGTAACCTTACAGGAACCCATAATTTATGGTCCTAATAAGTACCTGACTCCTTTATATTCTATGCTAAACTAAATCATGTGGTGTTAAATTTCCCACCATCCCCTAAAGCTTGTGTCAAACACCCTCTTTGTTCTGGGGATTGCTCTAGGGATTTTTCTCTAAAAGATTTTTCTCTGTGCCCCTAGCATTTTTACCTTTCCCTCTCCTTATTCTTAATCTTGTTTGTGTTTTTGAGATAGTGCCTCTATATAGTCCTGATTGTCCTGGAACTCACTCTGCAGACCAGGCTGGCCTTGAACTACCAACTACCTCTGCCTCCCGGGTGCTGGGATTAAAGGTGTATGCCACCATGCTCAGCTTTATTCTTACTTTTTTATTTTTTATAATTTATTTTTATTGTATGTACATTGGTGCTTTGACTGTATGTATGTCTGTGTGAAGGTGTCAGGTCCCCTGGAACAGGAGTTACAGACAGTTGTGAGCTGCCATGTGGGTGCTGGGAATTGAACTGGGTCCTCTGAAGAGCAGCCAGTGCTCTTAACCTCTGAGCCGTCTCTCCCGACCCTTTGTTCTTATTCTTAACAGAGCACCTCTCTAGGCTTTTAAGGCCCTTTCACATTTGTCTCACTTTTGCGTGTGTGCCCTCATAGCCCATTTTCCTTCTAACGATTTCTCTCCCGCTTCCTAGCCTGATCTTGGTTCTGAGAGTCTCTTTCCTAATAAATCTCATATTTGAAGGGTAATTCTTTGTCAGCTTCCTTCTTGAACTGACCAGCACATTGAATATTTAACATTTTCCACTTAGTGTTAAACATCTGAATAGTTCTCACTGCAGTGGAGGCCGTAGGTGTATTTGTTTTCTTTCTGTGGTGGTGGAAACACTGCACTCAAAACAGCACACAAGGCGTTGGATGGGCACTCAAAAGAACACATCACTGTTTTTTGTTTTGTTTTTGGTAGGGTAGTCTGGCCTGGAATTTGATATGCATGAACTCTTAATCCTTCCTGAAGGCTTAGATTACAGGTGTGTGCCACCATACCTAGTTTATGTGTTGCTGGAGGCTTTGTGATTACTAAGTCAACAGTCTATTAACTGAGCTATATTCCCAGCCCTGGCCTGGGACTCAAATCCCCTGCCTTGGCCTCCCAAGTACTGAGATTACAGGTGTACATGCACGGCCATACCTGGCCACCTCATTGCTTTTGCCCAGGTACAGACTTCATGACCGTGGTTCCTTGCCTGTGCTCTGCTTACAAGGGAAGCTCACCGCAAATTTCAAACTACTGCCTTCCCCACCCTTCCCCGGACCCCCAGTGTAATACACCTTATCATGGGTAGTTCTACAAAGAGGGGCTTCTGGAGAATGCCCACATCTTTTAGACAAAATAGTTGCTTACACACTCGACAGAAAACTCTTCTAAATAATTCTATCACATATACTTCTCTAGTTATAGCAGAAAAAAAAAAAAAAAAAACCCTGTAGGTCACACCATGGTTTTTATTTTAGACAAGAATGATTACCAGGCATACTAGCACACACCTTTAATAGCAGTACTCAGGAGGAAGAAATAGGCAGATCTCTGTGAGTTTGAGGCCACCCCGGTCTATACGTTAAATTCCAAGTGAACCAGGATCACATTGTGAGACCCTGTCTCATAAAAAGAAAATAAATAAGCTGGGCAGTAGTAGCACACCCCTTTAACCCCAGCACTCAGGGAGTGGCAGCAGAGGCAGGCAGACTTCTGAGTTAAAGCCAGCCAGCCTGGTTTACAGTGAATTCCAGGATAGCTAGGACTACATAGAGAAACCGTGTCTAAACAAACAAACAAACAAACAAAAAAAGAAACCAAAATAAATAAAATAATTATCTCTGTAAGAAGCAAAATTAGTATACACTGGCTTTCTAAAGGACACAAGAACCCCAGTACTCTGAAAGGAGATCTCTGAGTTTGAGGCCAGCCTCGTCTACAGAGTGAGTTCAAGGATGGCCAATGCTACACAGAGAAACTCTGTCTTGGAAAAAAAACAAAAACCACAAGTCATTTGATGCACTGGTTGTACCTTTATTACTTTTACCTCGTTCACTAGCAGTTCTGTGATGCAAGGTTACCATACACAGTTAGATAATGTCTGCATTACACACTAAGGCTATACAGCAAAAGAATCAGGATTAGTACAAATACAAGAACTGTATTTACATTTTGTATACTCAAGCTCCAAACATCAGATATTTACAAAATAAAACATGAAAATGAAATCCAAAATTAATAATGTACATTGTTGCTTGTGCTCAACTCCTTCACTGGGGAGAGATCAGTTTGCGAAGTCTTGGTTCAGAAAGGCCACTTATGCTTCATGGATTCTGTTATAGCATGGGGATGGTGACAGGAGACTTGACTCTCAACAGACAAGTACGTCGGAGCCACAAAGTCTGAGACAATGCTTGAACATGAGGAGGCTGGTGGATCCCTTAGGCGAACTGATGCCAGAATACACAGCATGAGAAAAAAATCAATTAAAGACATGACAGCACAAAACATCCAGGATCTCACATGAGACCAACCTCTGCCTGTACTTTCTATCGGAGCAGCTCTCTACTGTGAGGCCTTCTGTCTGTCTGATTTGCAGTACTGGGGACTGAACCAAACATCACATATAATTGCCAAATGCTCTACCACTAAGCTACACCCCTAACCTCTGGCTGTGAGTTTTTAACACCAGTTCTGTATCAACTTTTAATCTCTTTCTTATGGTAGAAATTTCTTTTTTAAGTAATTAGGAGCTCTCTTGAGATATTTTTTGAACTCAAATGCCTACTTCATAAATGGCCTTCTGAACAGTTAACAGCGACAGTCTCTGACTTGCTCCACAGTCCTGGTCTCACTCACTCGTGGCGGACCACTGGTCACAGTGGATGGCTGTGGTGCATGGCGCCAGAGTTTTATTCAAATGCATTCAGCAGACCTTCCAAGAGCAGCAACAGGATTATTCTTTTCTTCTCATAGAGCAAGTTAAAGATTACAATTTCAAAAAGAAACCCAAATGAAAAGTGAAGGACCCATGCCAAACAAACCATCCATCCCTGGGGGCTGTTCACAAGACCTCAGAGCACAGTGCCCAAGAGGGAAATGCTAGAGTCCCAACAGAAGCCACACAGGGCAGAACCATTTCCTTTCAGTCCAATGTGCAACCTATCACAGCTGTATAAATATACAAATACCTACAAAGTTAAATATCCCTAAATTAGACAAGAAGCAGCAGGTAACAAAGTCTATGGTTTGAAATATGTGTCAGGAAAAGTTATCTGTCTTTAGACCCTGAAGACCTTTCACAGTCATCATTCATTTCTTCACCCAAACTAGATGAAAAAATTTTTGAAAAATTAACAGATATGTAGCTGAAGGGAAAAAAACAAAAACACAATAGTTTATTAGTTGAGGAGCCTCAACAAATTTCTCACTTATGGATGAAGTCAGGGGCCTGCTTGGAAGCAGCCTGGCCTGTGCTCTTGCCTAACCTTGTACAGGGACTGCCTGGTCCCCGCACAGTCTGCACCTGAAAGCTGACTGACTCCCAGGATAGTCTCACAGAAGCAGGCAAGGCCTGAGCACTGGTCAGGGGGATAGTCACGAGGCCATATTTGTGTGGGAGAAAGGAGGATGAAGATGTAAAGGAAGGGGAGGATAAGGTTTTAAGTAGCACTCACTTTTCTGTACTTTGTGTGTTTTCATTCTAGGTTTATTTTGTTATTGTTTAAAAGAGTGCTTTGAAAATTAAAAAAAAAAAAAATTAAAAGGTAATTGTCCGTAAAAGGTAGTTGTTTTAACTTTCCTGCTACCATGGCAACAACAAAAATCTCATGAACAGGTCTTGCCATAAAACCCTTTCTTTTTCAGCACTTCAAAGCAGAGCTGACCTTGTCAGGAAACAGAACATAAATCCCATAAATGCTCAGCTTCTGGTCTGAGCTTGGGCCCTACAGAAAGAAGGGCAGGGCAGGTAGAAGCACAGGTGCCCAAGGTCCAGCCCTACCTTCCCTGGTTTTCCTATCAAGGCCTCCTTAAGGGACAGCTTATGAAGGGACAGTCCTGTTTGGCTCATGTTAACATTTGATATTTGCAAAGCAAAGATTTTTCTAAACCAGTTTTGTATGAGTTAAAAGAAAACATACCAGGCATGGTAGCACACGGCTTTAATCCCAGCACTCAAGAGGCAGAGGCAGGTGGATCTCTGTGAGTTCGAGGTCAGCCTGGTCTGCAAAGTGAGTCAAGGACAGCCAGGCCTTGTTACATAGAGAAAGCCTGTTTTGAAAACCAAAAAAGAAAAAGAAAAAAAAAAAAAAAGAAAGAAAGAAAGAAAACACTCATTGCAGGGTATTGTGTATAGCACAATTTCACCTCCCTCAGGCTTCACACCGCTCGTCACTGACATGGATCCTTACATCTACTTTGTAACAGCAGCGATATCAGCAATTCAATTGAAAAGCGATCTTTCACCTTCGTTTCCCTGAAATTAGATTTAGTTCTGGTTCAGGAAGCTGTCTCCAAGCACAGACAGAACCTGCTGAATTTGAGTATACACCAGAAGGGCGTGTTGTGTCCATTAGACAACAGAGACTGCTAACTACATTAAAAATCTTCTATATATGTTTAGAAAAAAACTAACATTACAGTTAGTGACTTATGCTTTATAAAGGAGAGAAAGAAAGTTTTAAAAATCCACCAATGAGCTGATCTTTTAGATAAGAACAGTCTGGTTTCTGCCCTTTCTTTTCTCCATGGTCCACTTTTCCTTTTCTTTGCAAGGCAATTTTAACAAAGGAGCCAGGAGTCCTGTTCTTCAGAGGGAAGCCCTGCTGAGAGGTCAGAAGCAAGGGTCTGCATGATGCCTCCCTAGTGGCTGCTCTGCAGTGGTGAGTGAGCTCTTGACCAGAAAGAAATCCATTCCTCCACTACCCTCAAGTGGCCAGAAACCTTCCCAGAGTGGAGGTGAGCAGATGCTTTCCTGGGTGCCTGAGTGATGGTAAAACAGGCTGATAAGAACGGCAGCATGAATGAGCTGCAAGTCACTGGCAAAAACCAGGGGCGTTCTGTGCTCTCCTCAGTCCCTGGCAGGTAGAGAACAAGCATTATTTTCTATGATAACCTCTTGAACCCAGAGACTCAGTTAGTTAGAAGCCACAGAAACTAGTGGCAGTGAACTCTCCCTCTTAACCACGTGTGGACGGGGACAGGGGAAATGGGGTTGCTAGGACCCAATAGCCACCACAGGACGGTTGGGTGCACTCTCTTTCTACCTTAAGAGGCTTCTGACTTGTCTGCAGTGGTGGTAGAAGCTGGTCAGTTCTAGCATACAAGCAAAGCCTGCCATGTTTGCTTATTTTGAGACAAGTATTATTAGAAACGGCCACTGGGTTCAGGTGGTGACTTTAAAGTTTATGCTGAAGCTACAATTCTTTGATCAAAGGGAGCTACAACAATCACAAGATGCACTCAGCACCTCTGAGCAACAATGATCCAGTTTCTCACCAGAAAGTCAAACACTCCCACACTCCCCCTGGTGGGAAAGGTGTTCATGACATCACATAATTCCAAACAGTGGCGCCAGCATCAGGAATGCTGAAAACAGTTAGAGAAACTCCTAGACAAATGCCTCCTTCCCAGCGAGGAGAAAAGTTTGCAGGAGCCTGCTGTGAGGACCTACAGTCAGTTGGCCTCTAATCATCATCCTCATCACCCACTGCCCAACCTACTCTGGCAGCTTAGGCCTTAAACGGCCCAGCCGCAGCCGCTGTTCCAGGCCTATCACAAAGGCCCTTCTGTATCTTCCACTTCATACATGAATGCTCTAAGCCCTGATTTGGACAGAGAATATAAATCCATTTCTGAGCTTCCCACAGTGCTTTCCCTGAATGGGAATACAGGGATTAGCCACTAAAAAAAGAGACAGAAGGAGGGAAAAAGAGGTTTTTCTTTCAGGGCTGACAATAGCAGGTGTCTCCTCCCTTAGTCTCTAAGCCATCCAGGAAAAAGTAGTAGTATCATAAACAGAGGGGGAAAAAAGAGAAAGAGAAAGAAACTACCCTGAAACCAGAGATACACAGAACAGCCAGACAGTGACCAATGAAGAGGATCTGCCATCCAAAGGTAGCTGAAGTACATGGGAAACTCATTTTGAGATTTGCTGGATCCCCTCAGGGTGTGTGTGAGTGTGAGTGTATACAAATGTGAGTAGTGATTTCCCCCCCCTTCTGTTAGGCCACATGCTACAAGTCTTAGCACAAGAAAAAGAAGAGTACAGAACCATGGAGATGGGGAACAGGAGAACTAGAGGAGCGCTGGATGACAAGGGAAGTAGTTAAGCCACAGGATTACATACAAGAATAACCATCAAGAATCACAAACAGAATGAGAGGTAACACTTTCTTTATCTGTCGAAGGTGAGCAAGGCTCAGGAGAATCACTTAATATTTCGGCTGGCTTGAGCATCTGCGAGAGAGCTTTGATCTATGAGAAAAATGGAAGGCAGGATTAGAGAACTGGATGTAGGTCTCTTCACAGGTGATCCACAGGTCCACATTTCTATGATCTTGAACAAATGGAGAGACCAGCAGTTCTCAACTTTTGAGTTTCGACCCCTTTAAGGGTTGGACAACCTTTTCACAGGATCGCATATCAGATATTTACATTATGACTCCGACAAAGGGCTGAATTGTGGGAGTCCATTAAAGCATTTACAATCTTTCCTTTGCTCAGTACCCTGAACCCCACCTGCAGACCTCTTGAAAACTAAAAACAAAGGGGATTAAGTGGTGAAAATGTGACCAGTGTCCTATCATTGACGACACAGGCGATATCTTGCTAGAAGCAGGGGACTCATTCTCACCCTGTAACTTCATTATACTTCAGCGGGGTATGGAGGCACATGCTTGTAATCCCAGCACTCTGGAGGCAGAGGCGGGTGGATCTCTGTGAATTTACAGCTAGCCTGGTCTAGAAAGTGAGTTCTAGGACAACCAGGATTGCTAAGAGAAAGGCTGTGGGGGGCGGGGGGAACTGTCTCAACAAGCAGAATGAAACAATGTTTTACCTTATTGTGCCAGCCAGAAGTGGGTTAAAGGCATATAACCAGTCATTCATGTCTTTGTCATTGAGAGCTTGCAGAAGAACCCCACGGTGCTTTGTGCATACAGCAAAGGTATTAGGTGTCTGGAAAGGAGCATTAAGTAAATGAGAAAGTTACTGTAGAGAATGAACAGCCAGGTCCATCTTGCCATATTCATAGGGTGCATAGCACTTCACACTGTAGGAACCATGCCACAGACCAGAGCTCCAAAAGGGAAGGATACAGGTAGCAACAGAAAGCAAAGTCAAGACAGACTGACCTTCACCATGGCCTGCTGGTCCTCACTGTACTCCACCTGTGCTGTAGACAGGTTAATGATGCCACGCTCTACTGGGTCTTTGTCACTGTTATAGATGAAGACGTAAGGGCGACGAACCACAACGAAATGTTTAGCCCAGTTAATGGAAAGTGGCTCCTTGAAATGCAGGTATCCCTTCTTAGACACCACTGAGCTAAAAGGACATTGCAAAAGAAGTCACTTTCTCCTAAAGTAAATGACAATAAGCTGAACCATCAATACATGCTTCCACTAGGCAAGCCCTCTGATGCAAGACAGGTAAATGATCTATCTGGCCTAGATTCTTATTATCATTTTCATTGGCCAAAGCAACACAGAAAAGGAGCAAATGCCGTGCAGGCTCAGATGCCTGATGCACACAGCGAGCACAGTCAGTGTACTGCAGGCTGGAACAACCGTGCCTAGAAGAGCTGGAAATCCCTTCCCTCATACCTGGCAAGTCTGCATCACAGTACTCACCCTGCTCTAACTTCTTCAATGTCTGGAACAAGGTTGAGAAATTCATTTTTTCCTGCTCGGGCCAAATAGGGTGTCTCCACAGCTGGGACGATCTGAAACTGTTCAAATTCTTGGCAGGGACTAGAGGCACGAGAGTTGGCTTCTGGGGTCCTTAACAGAGGAAGAATGAGATAATAAGCATTTCAGTAAGGTCAAGGCATCTGTGGACATGACCTCACAGGACACAATGCCCCTGCCCTTAGCAAATGCCCCTTAGCAAACATCAGCTAAGACAAGCTGGTGCTTCCCTTGGAAAAGGCACTGGGAGCCAGTGGGTCACAGCCTCCCCTGCTGTCCTAAGAGCACCAGCATACGAACGCTACTCCCTCGTGAGTTTCCGATCAGTGCCATGAGGCGCTGGTTCTCAGAGTGTGGCCCTGACTGACAGCGGCAGCACTCTCTGGGACTGGCAGACTTCACAGTCAGAACCTCAGGGAGACTCTTGGCCACTGCACTGCAGCAAGTTTCCAAGGGCTTTTAACAAGTTCACCATCGAAGGGGACAGCAGAGAAAGCCAACAGTGAGAAAGAAGTGCCTAGACCTGGAGGAGGTTCCTAAGATGCAGGAGCAGAGCAGTGAGCTGGACCATTCCTTAGTTCTCTGTCCTGGCTGTCTTAGGGATCTCCTAGAACAGCTTAGCCTGAAGATTCTGCTTCTTTCTGATTCTAAAATTTCATTTGGCAAACTTTACTGTTTCTTGTGTGTGCATATGGATGAGCTCACGCGTGCAGAAGCTAGAGGTTCACACTGAATGGCTTCCTGTCATTCTCCACTTAATTTTTAGAAGTTTTACCTTTTATTTAGTTCTTATTTTTTCTTTAGGAGTTTTATACTTGTTTTCAATGTGTTTTGATCATCTCTACCTCTCTACTTCCTCCAACTCCCTGACTCACCAATGTATGCCCCTTCCAGCTTCATGTTTACAATCCACTGGGTTCAATTAGCTCTGTCTACATTCACATAGATGTGGGGCCATCTACTAGAGCATAGGCAACCTACTAGTGGCCACACCCCAGAGAAAAATGACTCTTTCCCAGTAGCCATCAGTTGCCAGTGGCTCCTCAGCTAGGAATGAGGCATTGTGAGCCTCACCCCTATCCATGGTAGAATTTTAACTGGCTTCATCTTATGCAGATCTCAGACAGGCAACCACAGATACTGCAGAGTTCATGGTGCAATGGCCATGCCACATCTAGAAGTCAGCATTTCAAAACACTCCTTCCCATCCCCCAGACAGGAAACTCACTCTATAGACCAGGCTGGTCTCAAACTCAGAGATCTGCTTACATCTGCCTCCCAAGTGCTGGGATTAAAAGTGTGAGCCACCAATGCCTGGCTTAACAGCCCCCCCTCCATTTCCTTCTGCTCCCTCTTCTGTGATGTTTGCTGAGTGTTGGGGATATCTTGAGACAGGATCTCTTACTGAATTTCTTAGCTAGACTAGTTGGCCAGCAAGCCCCCAGGGACCCTTTATCTCTGCCGCCTCAGCACTGGGATTATAGGCTAGTTCCACTGCAAATTCTCTTTGTTTTTGAGACAGGGTTTTTCTGTGTATCCCTGGCTGTCATTGAACTTGCTCTATAGACCACACTGGCCTCGAACCCACAGAGATTCGCCCTTGTCTGCCTCTGGCATTATAGGTATGTGCCACTGCTCCCAGCTGCAAATGTTTTTTACATGGGTCTGAACTCAGGCCCCATGCTTGTAGAGCAAGCACTTTACCATCTGAGCCATCTCCCTGGTCCTCCATGCACCATCATTTCTGGAACTGCAATGCAGCTTACATTTGATTGGTGTGTTTTATTAGCTTTTCCTTTCTTAGTAGCATACATAACAATTTCATACAGTTAAAAAATCTTACTTTAATATTTAATGAAAAAAGTAGCCACATATTTTAGAGTGGTTCCTACTAGGATAGTGAAGCCTTGCTGAGAACCAGAACTACAGAAAAGCTGCCGTTTTCTTTGCTTATTTCTGCAAACTCTGAGTACTTACTTCTGATCCATGGAGTTGCTCCTTGAGTCCACCAGGGAGGGGCATGTGGAGGAAGGAGTGAGGGTCGAACTGCTGAAACTGGACACGGAGGGATCCCGTCCGATTGGAGAGATATCAGACAACTAAAACAAGGACATCACCAATGAAATTCAGCAGCAAAACAATGGAGCTCAACAAGTAGCTAGACTACTTGGCCAGCAAGCCCCCAGGACCCCCGCTCTGCCTCCTCAGCACTGGGATTACAGGAATGTTCCACTGCAAATGCTTTCTGCATGGAAGGCGGGATCTACACTCAGGCTTTCAGGCTTGCATGGCAAGCACTTTACCTCAGGCTCTGCTGTAAAGAGCAGCAGCAGCAGTTGCCCAAGACAACTAGCACCTCATTTCCATAAAGACGATTCGAGTCACTAAAGAGAACAACCCCTATAAACTATCATTACTGTTTGTAGACAATGCACCAGACCCTTGGTTCTCTCCCCAGAGTGGGGAGAGAAAGAAGGTGGGGAGGGAGATAGAGGAGGGGAGAATGAGATACTTTTTGTGTTGCTTATTCTTCTGGCTATTTAAATAGCCTTATACACAGAAACATCAAGCACCTATGGCATACATGCATTGTTCTAAGCACATGGCAAAGTCCTGCTCTCATGGAGCATACACTATTTAATGAAGAAAGTAGACAGACTTTTAAAAAGTGTCACATGGTCAGGCACAGCATCCCATGCCTTTAATCTCAGTATTTGGAAAGCAGAGGCAAGCAGATCTCTGTGAGTTCAAGACAATTGTATAGTTCCAGAGCAGCCAGAGCTACATAGTTAGACCATGTCTCAAAAAAAAAAAAAAAAAAAAGTAGTAAATAAGTTAAATAAAAAGTTCAGATAGTGGGTCCAGAAAGATGCCTCAGGGGTTTAGAACTGGCTACAGAGGACCTGGGTTTGATTCCCACCACAACATAGTGGTTCACAACCATCTGTCACTTCAGTTCTAGGGCATCAATACCCTTTTCTGTCCTCCACAGGCACCAGCCACAAACATGGTGCATAGAGCTACATGCATACAAAATAACCATACATATAAAGTGGAAACAATAAAAATGAGAAAAAAAAAAAAACAAACAAGTTTTAGGGAATCGCTAACTTGCTGTGGGTGCTGAAGGAAGCTCACCTCCAATAAGGCTGGAGCAAAAACCACAAGTGAGGAGGGAGCCAAATGTGGAGATGTCTAGAATGTGAAGCATACAGAGACCCAGGCGAGCAACATTGGGAAGGCTGAAGGAAAACGGAAGGGCAGGCTGGTCAAGGCTGTGAGGGCACACGCGTTCTCCAGCACTGTCGCTCTTTGCTGAGTGCGCCAGGCTTGATGTTGCCAACAGCCTCACAAAAGCTTACCACTTCCTTACATCATAAGCTCTTATAAGGGACTCAAAAAAATCAAGATCTTTCCTGTGTGACAGGGACTATGCTTCATAGAGGCGTCTGACACCTTTCAGAAGTCAGTGTTCTGACAAAATCAAAAACATACCAGAGCATAATGTTAGACAGTTTCAAACACAATCTATACCCATGTTAGACCCTAAAAGCAGCAAAATCTGTGACAGGACATCTACACAACTGGGAAGGAAGAGTCATTACCACAATGGTAAAAAGTAATGGCCTCAGTCACTGCTCACCTTACAGTCACTGATGCTGCCATGTACCTGGTTTAATTCTCGGTTGAAAGTGTGGGTGAGAAGCTGTAGGCACTAAAAATGAGAGAAAGACAGAGAGTGTGTTAGTTGGCGCTGAACATAAAACTAAATGGCTAAATGAACCCCTGTATACAAGGAGAACTAACAAATCTAGCTAGATCTCAGATGTTGCCTTAGAATGACTAACAATATGTTGAGGAAAGCTAGTGTGTATCTAGATAAGCCAAAAAAAAAAAAAAACCAAATGGATTTCAACGAATACTCTTAATACAACCAAAGAAAATTACTACAAATATCATAGCTTAGAAGAAGTGCTTCAGAGCGGAGTGTGGTGGCCCATGACAGCACTGAGAAGCAAAGGCAGGTGTATCTTTGGTCTACATACGAAGTTTCAGGACAGCAAGGGAGACCCTGTCTAAAAAGAAGGGAGGGGGGGAGAGCTGTAGAGATGGCTCAGCAGTTAAGAGCACTGGCTGCTCTTCCAGAAGACGAGGGTTTAGTTCCCAACACACAACCATCTGTAACTCCACAGTGAATGAGATACCTTTTTCTGACCTTTTTTATGAATCTAATACTTTTTTCTGCAGACACTAGGGACACACACAGTAGTGCATATTTGCACATGTAAACAAAATGCTCATACACATTACTTATTAATAAATAAATCTTTAAAAAAGTGTTTAGGAAAATAATAGAACCAGGAATGGACATATATTCCTCTAATTCCAGCACTCAGCAGACAGAGCTGGGAAAGGTGCTGCAAGTTCCAGGCCAGCCAAGGCAATAAATACAGGAAGACCCTGTGTCAGAAAATCCAAAAGAATGACATTTCCTCTAATTCTCAATTCAATGAAGACATGGACATAGTGGTAGTGTTTGCTTAGTGTACATGAGGACCTACATTTAATTCCCCACACTGGAAAAACAAAAAGCAAAAGCATGAACACTTCTGGTTGGATACATTTTCCTAAACACACAAGACCTCTTGACTATTAAAACAGGACAAACAAAAATCCTTCTTGGGGGCTGGAGAGATGGCTCAGAGGGTAAGAACACTTGCTGTTCTTCCAAAGGTCCTGAGTTCAATTCCCAACAACCACATGGTGGCTCATAACCATCTATATAAGATCTGGTACACAGGTAGAATGCTGTATAAATAATAAATAAATCTTTTTTTAAAAATCTCTGTCAGTTTTCTATCTCCCCTGTTGCCAACTACAGGCAGTACACACCCAGGAGTCATCTTCAATAGCCTTTGTCTTCTCCCATCCATGCAGAACTCTCTCTTACCCTCGTTGGACAGGCCTCATCTTTTCTAATGGATCACTGTAACAAGGATCTCTCTCTTCCTCAGTCTCACAAAACTATCTATTTTATTTCTGCTAAAGAAAACCTTTGTCGTTATTGCTTAATTAATGTATTTTTTGCAGTACTGAAGGTCAAACTCAGGGCCTTGCACATGCTAGGCAAAAATACTCCACCACTGAGCGATTAGCCCTACTAAAGAATGTTGAACAAATACCATTTCAAATATTTACATCATTCCCAGGACCTGCTTTATCTCCTATCCCTCTACCACATGAGCTCTCTAAGCTACTCCATGCCTCCTAACACGTGCTTTATGCCAGTTCACAACACCACATCTATAAGACACACCACTATGATGTGGTTGTAACCCAGTCTTAAGCTTAGAGGCAAGAACTGATCCTTACTATTTCTACATTCAGTGTTTGTGTCAGGGTCTTCAAAGAAAACTGCTGAAAATGAAGGACAGAGAAACCACCTCAGAGCCCTGGTGGTAGGGACTCTAAGCCAAAAAGGAGGGATTCCCCACCTTTGTAGCCAGTTCCTTCTCTCTATCTACCAGGCTTTCGATGTCTGCTGAGTCATAGCCACTGCTCTCGCTGGGTGTGACGGCGCTTTCAAAGGTGGTGGTTGAGATCTGAGAAGAGATGCTGGTCGAGGTACTAAGGGTTCCACTGCTGAGGCTGGGGGACAGTGAGTCACTCAGAGACTTGGGTATGCTGTCACCAAGCCTCTCACGAAGCAGCAAGAAGTGGCGAGTTTTCTCCACCTAAGGATATGAACATCATTATCTAAATTTATTAAGTGTTCCAATATGCAAATTATGCTTTCATCATCACAGAAAACCAATACGCTGAGAAGTCACGGAGAGAAGACAGGAATAGGACTGTGTGGTTGCTATCCTAAGTCCTTGACGTGGCCCAGTCTGTCCTTGATACCTCATGCAGCAGCTCCAGCTTCTCCAGCTCCCACTGGTGCTCCAGGATGAGGCTGTCTCCTCGAGGCCGCCAGCCTGCTAGGTTCTCCTCTCCTCGCACATATGCCACAGAGGTGTCCAAGACTTTTCTCCTCCGCCTCTGCATGCCTAAGAGGAAACATGGTTTTTTGTTTGTTTTTGTTTTGAATCTCCCAGAGAAAAGTCAAATTCCAATTTATGTCAAAACAAACTGCACAAAACTCTTACACATTTTTATGTCAAACTAAATTTTTCCCTAAAATCAATGAGATTTTATTTATTAATAAAATTAATGCTGGGAATGGTGTCAAACATCTTCAATTCTGGCACTGAAGAGACAGAAGCAGGTAATCTCTGCAAGTGTGAGGCTAGCATGGTCTACACACTGAGTTCCATGCCAGTCAGGGCTACACAAAGAGACCCTATGTTAAAAAATAGTAAGCCAGGCAGTGGTGGCACATGCCTGTAACCCCAGCACTTGGGAGGTAGAAGGCAGATTTCTGAGCTTGAAACCAGCCTGATCCATTCCAAAGTGAGTTCCAGGACAACCAGGGCTACACAGGAAAACCCTATCTCAAAAAACAAAAAGGCAGGCAGACAGACAGATATTCAGACAAAGAGAGAGAGAAAGAGCAAGGCAGAGTGTGAGAGAGAGAGAATCCATAGCATTCTCCTAAACTTGATGCTGGGCTCAGACCTAGGGCCTTATGCATACTAAATAAATACTTTACCATTATTAACCTGTATCTCAGCCCTAAACATGAATTTCTGATAATTTTCCAGGTAAACTGATTTTGTTGCTCACAAATGATCTTTGTTAAGGCAAAGTGTGGTAAGCAGTGGTGAGGGATTCTGAATCGTGGTGCTGCAGAACCTGTGGTCCTAGTATCTGGAAGGGCTGCTGTAAGTTGCAGGCCTGAACAAAGCCCTGTCTCAAGAAGAGCTTTCTAAAGCCTCTCCTTGCTACTGTTCTGAGACAGGGTTTCTCTGTGTAACAGAGCCCTGGTTGTCCTGAAACTTGTTGGTCTTGAACTCACAAAGAGCAGCCTGCCTCTGCCTCCTGAGTGCTAGGATTAAAAGCGTGCACACCCCCTCCCCAAAGTTATTCTCTCAACAAGTTTATATTTCACAGCACAGTGTGCCTTGTTGGACACCATGTTTATAATCACATTAGAATAACATCATAAGTCAAATAACGTATCTCACCACCACAAAACTGGTTTTTAAAATACTAAAAAAGACTTTCTAGCCCCAACGTGAATGAGACTCCAATTTTTCAGTATTATTCTTGAAGCATTTGGTGTGGGAATAGCTTACCTGGACTACCAGTATCTGCCATTTTGCATAAGCTCAGTTCATAAATTCCAGTAACTCGGTTGCTATTTGAAAAGAAAGTAGAACAACTGCTGAGTTTCTTATAGTACAAAAATAGGAAAGACCTAGATTGTTTACTTAAGAAAATGTGTATTCTCAACAGGCTACAATTCCATACTTAGATACACACGCTTTCCATTTTTGTTTATTTACTGTGTGTGTGTGTGTGTGTGTGTGTGTGTGTGTGTGTGTGTGTGTGTGTGTGTAAGGACAGCTTAGAGAAGTCAGTTTTCTTCTGCCATCATGTGGGTTCTGGGACTCAGGCTTGATGGCAGGCCCCTTTACCTCTGAGCCATCTTTCTGTTCTAAGACACTGCTTATTTTTATCATTAACTGTTGTTTGTTTGTTTACTTTTCTTTTCTTAGGAGAAGCTTATTCTCAGCTTAATATTTTGACACTGTTAAATCATATTTAATGTGATGAATAGAATAGGATAAACTAGAAAATTTACAAGATTAAAAACTTTTCTTGACATAAAGTGAAATGCTCAATAACAAGTTCTGGACATGATCACAAGAAAGGACACTCAGCCTTTCATTGCTTTATGGTAATTCCTATTTTACTCACTAGCCTGGGTGGTGATATTCAAGTCTACATGCTATATATTCTCAAATGTATATTTTCGTGTGCCTTAAATATGTACAATAACTCTTACAAAGAAGAAAACCTTAATAACTATCCATTAAAAATATGAGTAGTAGTGAAAATTAGTTCTAAACTTGTTTTGGAAGTATTTACAATGTAACCCTTTCCTTCATCAACTCATGCTTTCATGAATATTGTATCAAGTACCACCATACTAGTCTTTGCATCCTAGATGCCAGTTATAAACCGAAATGGTTTATGAGACAATAAACTAACTTGCAACAGAAGTGGGGATACCTAAGGGCTGCTGTTTCTTTCTGTTGGACTGGGCAAAGAACTGGAAACTAAACTTGTTTCAAAAACTTACGAGTCTGGTGACTTTGAGTAGCCACTACCAAAGAGGCTTCGCAGAGAACGCGGAGGTGAGATCTTGGCATCTCGGGAATAAAAGACCATGCACACATCCTTGGTGATGACGGCTGGCTGGATACAATGGTCTAACTGCAAACAGACAAAACATGGTGCTGAAATATTCAGGAAGAGCATAGTAGCTAGTTCCAGCTGTGGAGATAAAAAGGTTTCTGCTTCACCAATGATTTAAAAAACCATTCAACAGATAGTAATGAAAAGTCAGGAGCATTCATGATGAACATACTTATTTTCCTTTGAGGGAATATGCTATCATTATACACTATTTAAAAATGAAGAAGCCAGGTGAGGTGGCACCTGCCTGTAATCCCAGGACTCAGGAAGGCAGAGGCAGGTGGATCTCTGTGAGTTCAACACCAGCCTGGTCTACAAAGTAAGTCTAGGACAGCCTTCAAGAAAATGAGGAGGAGGAGGAGGAAGCAGAAGCAGCAGCAGAAGCCAGGTATGGTGGCACATGCTTTTAATTCCAGTACTCAGAAGGCAGAGGCAGGCAGATGTCTGAAGCCAGCCTCGTCTCAGAAACCTTTGTTTCTCTGTCTTAAGAAAAAAACAAAAAACAAAAGCTAGGCGCAGTGACGCACTCCTGTGATCCCAGCACTCCAGGAGGCAGAGACAGGCAGATCTCTGTGAGTCTGAGGGCAGCCTGGTCTACAAAGTGAGTTGCAGGACAGCCAAGGCTACACAGAGAAACCCTTGTCTTGGAAAAACCAAACCAAACAAACAAAAAAACCCAACAAACTAAAATAAAATAACAACAATAAAAGAATATAGGAGAAGAAGAAAGTGACACACACAGAGCTTATCTAAGGACACAGGGCCAATAAGTGACAGCACAAGAATTAGAATCAGTCTCAGATCAGTTATGGTGGTACATGCCTGAAATCCAAGAACCTGGGAAATAGAAACGGGAGCAACAAGTCATCCTTAGGTACACAGAAAGTTTGAGACAAGTCTTAGATACATGAGACTCAAAAAATAAAAATTTAAAATATATAAACAAACAAACAGAGGAAAAAAAAAAAAAAAACCAGAGGAACTCAGGTTTGTTCCAAGACCTGGAACTACTGGTCCCTGTTATGACCACGAAAGCATGGTATGAAACTGTCTTAACTGGTAATTGGGTTCCTGAAGCTTAAGTAATCAAAAAGTTCTACTCATTTGACAAAACAGAACTCTGGAACAGAATCTAAAACAATCATAACAGGTAGCAGAGTAAAATCAAATAAACAGGGGCTGGAGAGACAGTTCAGAGGTTAAGAGCTCTGACTGCTCTTCCACAGGTCCTGAGTTCAATTCCCAGCAACCACATGGTGGCTCATAACCATCTATAATGATATGTGGTTCCCTCTTCTGGCATGCAGGCAGAACAACGTACACACAATAAATAAATAATTTTAAAAAAATCAAATAAACAATTCAAGAATATGGAGGAGGAAAGGATGAAAAAAACAAGTTGAATTTTTGCTGATAACTTCCTGTCATTGCCTATTTCTCAGGGCCTGCTAAAGTTATGGGTCCCTTACCTCCAGATAAGCTGATAAGGTCATGTAGATCTTTTCTCCATAGGGTGTCACTCGGTTCAGAAGAAGGGAGTTATGTAGGGAGCTGTCCCATACGGCCTCAAAACGGTAGAAGGTCCTGAGGTCAGAAAGACATATGTCAACCAAAAGTAGGTAATGTTATGGTAGCAGAGAGACCGCTAGTGGCAGGGATCATAAGGAACCCTATGCCAATCAGAACTCTGACAGCAGAGAAAGCCTTATACGTAGAGGGAGAGGCAGGTGTCCAGCCACTCGCCCCATCCGTCATTTAGGGTTACTTGGTTTGTGTGCCTCATCACTGCTTTCTGATTGTTTTTGCCTGCTAACATGAAATCAGTGATAGCACATGGCTGGAGTCCCAACACTCAGGCAGAGTTAGGAGGACTGCTCAAGTTTGAGATGTTTGGTCTAAATACCAAGTTCCAGACTGGCCAGGCTACACCACAAAACTCTTTCTCAAACAAAACCAGCCCCACCAAAAACATAAACTATGAGAGCATTCAAAAGGATTAAAAAGAATGTGGATAGAATCTGGAAAAAAAAAAAGTTTAAAAGAGCTATCCTGGTTTTTGTTTTGTTTTGTTTTTTGTTATTTTAATAATGAGAAAAGAAGGACTCAGCCAGGTGTAGTGGGGCACACTAACCCCAGCCCTGGGGAGGCAGAGGCAGGTGATCTCTGAGTTCGAGGCCAGCTAGAGAGTGAGTCCAGGACGGCCAGGGCTGTTACACAGAGAAACTCTGTCTCAAACAAAACAAAACAAAACAAGTAAGGACTCAGTGACAGCCAAGATCTAAACTGCACAGCTGCTCTGCTCTTAAATGCTCAAAGGCAGGAACTGGCAGACTTTAATTCTGAACACTTGGATGAATACACAAGAGCTGATCTATTAACAGTAGAGAATGATTTTACAACACTAGGGATAGTATTCATTCCTTCTGAACAGAACTGAAAATCAACCTTACAGTTAAATAATCATAAACTAAATTTAGCAGACTGGTTCAAGTTCTTCAAGTATGAGTTTTTCCTACTGGCAAAACATGACAGGCAGGTGACACTGGCAGGGCTACAGATCAATTCCAAGCTCAGCACCATTTTCTTTCTTAAAGCTAGGACACCTTATGGGGGAAATCCTCTTGTAACCCAATCCCCTGCACAATACTGTCTCTCAGGCAGAATAGAACCCACCCAGCTCACACAGAAAGAGTGTTACCCTATTCCCTGCCAATCACATTTTTCCTTACACCTTTCCAAATGGTGACCCCACTAGCTCTGCTTTTCTAGATTTCCAATGATAATCAACAGGCACATCCCAAGCATCCTCCAGAAAATATGAGCAGAGAAAACTTTCTCAAAGTGAATTCCCTGACCACACCTCATCTTTCCAGGCCCTGGTTGGAGGTGTGGCCACTCCTTCTACAGCTGGTCTTACTCGGTTCTTTTCTAGAACGTGATTGTTTTCCACTGCCAAGGTTTTAAGGCATGAGTTGTGGGACAACAAAGTTCTCTGTACAGACTCAGAAGGCATACAGATAGCAACGATTAATAAGATAGCCATCGAGTGACCCAAAGTGCAAAAGAAGTGCCAGACAAGGGAAGCCTTTTTCACGGCTTAGCGATTCAATAGAAAACCTCCACATATCCAAAATCCTAATAATGGAAAATGACATTCAGACAGACCAGGCTAGCCTCAAACTCAGAGATCTGACTGCCTCTGCCTCCTCAGTGTTATACTTAAAAGCATGGCAACACTGACTTCTTACATTATGATTACACTTCATGCTGTGTGTGTGAGAGAGACAGAGACAGACAGACGGACAGACCAACAGAGACAGAGAGACGGGGGTAGGGGGGTGAGAGAACTACTGTCCAGCCAATGACTCACCCTGTTGAGTTCACTGGGAGATTCTATGTGAACTGGGTGATATCCAGACTAAGATATAAACATTATATTCATACATCTGCCAAATAACAGTTTGGACTACGTTTTCATGTACTATTGACACATAGTCTAAGAATGGAGTTGTGTAAGGAAAATTCTGAGTACTTGTGAGAAAACTCCAAGAAAACAAGAGTCTTGTGACCTCAGTTTCTTCAAAGCAAGGAATTGTTCTTGGAATGTGTTTTTTGTGCCCCTCACGGGTGTAGCAGATAGGGGTGATTTACTTCATATTATTCATTACAGCTAGCTACTGTTTCTTTATATGCCTCTATGGAAAAACATGTTTTTGCCACGTGTAGCTTGTCCTTGTGATTGTACACTTTACTCATGCTGATTGTTCTTAACGCTCAGAGTACAAATTGTCTGATGCTCTGAATAAAGTTGGCTATCGCATGAGATTTAGTCCACCTCATTTTTAGGCTGCATTCTCCCTAGTTCCACCACCTTTAAAGTGATAAACAATATCTCATCATTTTCTTCAGTTTTCTTTCCTAAATCAAGTAAGAAAAATAGGAAAACACTTTACTACCAGGAATTTTTCTATTCCAAAAGGACTTTTTTCCATTCCAACATATTTTATCTCCAAAAAGAAAAACATATTAAGACATACAGATAAAAAATGTTTAAAAATAGACAAGGCCAGATGTAGTGGCACATGCCTTTAACCCTGACACTTGAGAAACAGAGGCAGGAGGATCTCTGTGCGTTCAAGGCCAGCCTATTTCATAGAGTGAGACTCTGTCTTAAAAAAATAATAAAATAATAAACAAACTAACATTTCTTCTTACAGAGCCACCTACCCAACTAGCCATTTTGTTCTCTGTGTGATAGGCACAGAGCAAAAAAAAAAAAAGAACAAAAAAAAAGAAAATAAGTGGGATCTGTGAGGCAACAAACCTTTCAAGCTTTTGAGAGATGGAGTGGAGGAAGGGAAAGGAAAGAGGGAATGTCAGAGAACAAAGGCTGTGATTTCATATGAAATGTAAAACATTCTATTTTAGAATATAGAAGAGGACAACTTAAAGAAGCGTTTAAGATTAGTAAATGGCACTGGGCATGGTGGCGCATGCCAGTACTCCCAGCACTCAGGGAGGCAGAGGCAGGTGGATCTCTGTGAGTTTGAGGCCAGCCTGGTCTACAAATCAAGTCCAGGTCAGCCAAGGCTACACAGAGAAACCCTGTCTTCTCTCAAAAAAATACCCCCCAAAATAGTAAATAAAATGAGAAAATAATTTAGAGCACCAAGTCATTAGAGAAGGTACACAAGAAACTGCATACACATCAGAACCCAAAGCACCAGAGGCACAGTCTTAGGTTGCAAATAAGGTCTTGCTCTGTTCTAGGTACAGCTTAGGTTTACCAAGGGAATAAACCACTGAATTAAAATAGCAACCAAAGCAACATAAGACATCAAGCATTCTGGTAAACTAGAATCTCTATGTGCAAAAAAGCAAACAGAAAGTACCTAGGAATATCCTTATCAAGAAAGAGCCTGCAAAAACAGAAAAGGCTTTCGTTAGTCCAGCAACCAAAAGACAGAGAAGGGAAAACAAATATATATGGAGAAATAGAAACACACAGAGAAAATATTTTTTTAAAAAGGCAAAATAATGCTAACAAGCAAACTGAATTCCAGCGGACAAGCATCAAACAGAAAACTCTGGGACACATTCTGACAAGGGACTTACAGTGACATGGATTCTTCTCCCAACTTTTATTAAGAAAACGGATGGAATACAAGAGGGTATGGAGAGCAGCTCTATTAATGATACCCCCAGGGGGACTTAGTAGTGGATACAGTAAGAAACTGCTGTTGAGCTAACAGAAAACCAAGACAATCGGTTAAGGGAAGTGCAGGTGTAGAAAGAAGGGACTCAGGGTCTTGTCAGCTGCTCTCCACTATCAATGTGTTAGAACAGCCCTCCCAGACACATATCTGGCGCAACCAATGTGTAGATCTATACATTCACTTCAACACTAGCCCTTAGATGACCACGAGCCCTTTTAGTCAAAATCACTTAGGGACACACCATATTAACCTATGAGACTGCAATGGTGAAACTATGTCAGCTTGGCAGGACCCAGGATCATCTCAAAGGCAAATCTGTAGGTGTGTGTGGGAGGGCTTGTCAGGACTAAGTGAACTGAGGTGGGATGAGCCTCCCTAAATGAGAGCTGTGCCACGCCATGGGTTGGGGTTCCAGACTGAGTACAAAGAAGAAAGGGAGCGAGCACCAGTGTCCGTCATACTCTCTGACAGCAGATGGGTGTAATCAGCCGCTCAGGCTCCTGCTGCATAACCATGACTGACTATACTCTTGAACTGTAATAATCCTTCTTTGCCAGGTAATTTGTTATACTTGTCAAGACAAGTCACTAATACAGCTCTCCATCCACAAATGTAAATATTCCAAACTAGAGAGGTGTCTCATATGCTTAGATAATTAACTTCAAAAAGCTGAGTTGCTTGCTTAAGTGTTAGTAGTATATGTCTGTTCTTAAACATTTTAAAAATGTGTGTGTGTGTGTGTTTTCCTGCATGAATGTAAGTGTGCCACATGTGTGCTTGCTGTCAGGGTACTGGAATTGGAGCTACAGCTTTGAGATGCCATGTGGGTCTGGGCCCTTATGAAGAACAACCAGTGCTTTTAACTGCCGAACATCCCTCCAGCCCTCTTAAATCTTTTTAACCAGCTGTGTTTTTTTAAATTTATTTATTTTTATTTTATGTTCATTGGTGTTTTATCTGCATATATGTCTGTGTGAGGGTGTCAGATCCTGGAGTTGCAGACAGCTGTGAGCTGCCATGTGGGTGCTGGGAATTGAACCCAAGTCATCTGGAACAGCAGTCAGTGCTCTTAACCACTGGGCCATCTCTCCAGCCTCACCAGCTGTGTTTATTATTATAATCATTTAGAGTTAATTAAACATTAGGACTATCAATCAAATAAAAGGGTAAAAATAACTTTCTGTGAAGATCAATTTAAATGCTTTTTCCTAATGCTAAAATTCTGAGTTATTTAAATAAGCTGTTATTTTTTTTTTCCCAAGACAGAGTTTCTCTATGTAGCCTTCGCTATCCTGGACTTGCTTTTAGACCAGGCTGGCCTCACAGAGATTGGCCTGCCTCTGCTTCCCTGAGTGTTGGGATTATAGGTATACTCCACTGAGCTCACCTTATAGCTGTTAAATTTAAGTGAATTTTTCTTTTAAATTGAGACAGGCTTTTACTCTGTGGCCTCCTACTTTTAATCCTCTAATCTTCTTCCTCCTCTCAGCTTCTAGTTCTTGTCCCACCAACTAGAAATCACATGAGTATGGTTTTTACAAGAAAAACAATCAGAATTTCAACAAATGACCCCAAAGTTAAAGAAAATACTTTATCTCATAGCAAGAGCATGGTAAATAAATGTGTACACACAAAGCTTGTCAAAGCCATTCTGTTAAAGAAGCTCAGTAGGCATGAGGGCCTTCTGAAAGGGGATCTGGTATTTTGCATGGTATTTTACCATGATGCATCCTAGAATTGCTTCCAACCTCTGACAATGCTGTCATTTGTGTACTGCTGCATCTCTCTAAAATCTGACATGGTTGTGAACTTGTGAACCGTCACTTTCTGGGTATTTACTCACTCTGTTTGAACAAACTTCCTATGGGATCTTTATGAAGATGTACTGCTGCTCAGATAAATTAATTCTCGATTATGGAATTCCTAATTTGATTCAAACAATTTTAACAGTTAAATTGCTTTAGAACTTCTAAAACAACTTTAGAATGTATATGACTGCAATAAATACCTTTGTGGAACTCCAGGTGCCTCACTAGAAGACAGGCTTAAGAAAGATTTGTGGCCTCAGATAAGTTTTCACTTTAGGGATGACACCATGAATCCTGGTATATGCCATAAATATAGGTGAGTTGGTTTAAATTTCCCATGAACCCAAAATATGATGGGGCTACCTAGAAATGTCTAAATTAAGTGCAAACCTTAATGTCAAAATACACAAACTGGTTCATTGTAATTCCTTATACCTTGTCACCTTATGGGATAAAACACTGTCATTTTAAATTTGCTTTGTTTCTCAAAGTAAAAGACAGATAAAATTATTGTCCTAAACTCACTATAAACTAAGAGATAGCTGGAGAATATGTAGCCAAGTCAGTCCTAGTTGAAAAGACATATATTCTTGTAACTTTTTAGATCCTGTTAACCTTTAGGCCTTGTCAACCTTTGTCATTCTGAACTCACTATGAACTTATGTAATGGATACATACATGAGAAATGTTTAGTTTTGATGAAAAACACGTAACCTGTTGCATTTTTTAATTCATCTGTTTTTGTGATTAACTGCTCTTTTGACTAGAAGGTAATTTCTTTTCTGATGTCTCAAAAGTATAAAAGCTGTGACCAGACAATAAAAGTTAGTTGAAGTCCTCTGGGGTTGAAGCCTGCTAGAATTCGCTTCATCCATGAGTTGTAAATATGCATATAAATATGTGTTTTCATGTAAATATATCTATCTGTCTGGTTTTTGTACATGTTACATGAGTGTATATAAATTGTCTCTCTGTATATAAGGAGCTCCTTCTATATCATCCATTTAAATATGTGTATAAATATATACAGGTCTATATGTCTCATTGTCTGTGTGTACATATGGGCTGATACAATGGAACCAGTAGCCTTAACTTACCATAGTTTCTGCAGAGGAGACACTAGCTGAAATCAACATCATTGTCATATGTAAGTTTGTGGGAATTTATTGAAGTTGAAATTAGAGTTTTTAACCTTATCCACCTATTCCTCTTGAATTCTCATGTGTGTGAGTGGTCTAATTTTTTTTTTATCTCTCTCTTAATTTTTGTTTTCCTGTATATTCACTAATAAGTTATAATAATAACTTATTATAATAAACAGACTCAGAGCTCTAAGGGAGATCTCCGTATCTACAGATCAAAGAGCCTCCTTTTAGAACCCCCTGCAGTTTTGGCTAGAAGCCACTTTTACAGCAGCCACTGCAGGAAAATAGTGCTCAGTTTAAGTTTTCCTCCTTAGACCAGTCCCTAGTCTTAGAGAAGGAATCCTGGGCTCTCTCCCCTCTTTCTTCTTTAAATTGTCCCTCTGTCTGTCCCTTGTGACCAGCTGCCTGAGGCATCGGCTCAGCAACCCAAGAGATAAAGCAAATGGGGATTCTGCATCCTGTCCCAGATTCTATCCTGGATCTTGTCAAAAGCAGAGAGACATTGGCAAATGCTACAATCAATACAGAACTGCTCAGACTGTAGGATGACACATAAGACAAAGCTTAGCAGCTGCCCTTATGTCTGACCTCAGAAAGTTGTCCTTTGACTTTTTGTATGTGTATACCTCACACATGCACACAAAATAAAATGTAAAAAAAAAAAAAGTTCAAGATGTGTATCTTTCATTATTCTTGGCTTCAGCCAACTTATTTGATTAACTATTTTTAAACTTCTATTATACATGATCTAATAAAGCCCACTTCTCTTCATATAGTACCCGATCTGCTGCTGGGCTTTGGTCAGAGGACTTTTCAAGGATACTTCAGTGTGCACACATCCAGCATAATCAGGGTTTCAACAACCACCATCTGTTTAGCATCAGGAAATAGTGTTGAATGTCAGCTGAACACCGGCAGGAGAGAGTCATGTGGTTTCTCTGCTGACTTCAGAGACATGTGTTTATGATCTTCCCAGGAAGAGGCAATGCTACCTTCTCCCCAAACATAATACCCTTTCATACTCGCCCCCTTTCCACAGGCCCTGCCATCTCTCCTTACATACAGAAAAGCAAGCACAAGTTTTGGTCTTTTTGGTTTCTTGTTTTTCTTTTCTTATGCAAAACTGTAATATAAGGGGAAAAAAAAATCAGTCCTGGCTCAAACCTTTTCATTCTGTTTCTGCCTCCTGTCTTATCCCTGCCCCTTTCCCAACACACACATAAGTAAGTTTTCCAGAGCATAAAGCAGCACAGAGAAATAATTCCATAATGTGATGGCAGTGTCCTCAGCCCACATGGGACATGCTGCCAACTTGAGGAGGTGGATTCTTTGAGACACTAACCTAACCTTTCTCCTGGCTCAGGCAGGTCAGAGACCCTGAAGGTTTAACTCCAAGCTAATCTGGAAATTTTGTCTATGTACTTTCGCAATACAAGTCACACTTGATTTTAAAAGGAAATTTACAGGAAAGTTAAAAAAAATAAAATCCATTTCTTTATAGGAGCCAATATTGTAAAGAAGAGTTCATATTAAATTATCAACTTTAGGGTTAGGAGGTAGTGGTGCATGCCTTTAATCCCAACACTCAGGAGGCACAGGCAGGTGAATCTCTTGAGTGAGAGGCCAGCCTGGTCTACACAGCAAGTTCCAGGACAGCCAGGGTTATATAGAGAAACCCTGTCTCAAAATTAAGTAAACAAACAAATAAATAAACAAATAACTTAAACAAATAATCAACTTTATACACAAATGAAAATAAGAAACAAAACAACACACAGGCCTGAGTATTCCCTGGAGGGTACAAGCTCCAGGGTAAGAGCTATGCTCTTTAGGAGTAGGAAATCTTTCTTCACAGCAACCATTTCATTGGGAAACTTTAATCTTAGCAATAATCAATCTGTCTAGTTAAGCCCTTGAGTAGCATTTTGAGTTTTCTTATATTTTTTTATTATCATTGTGCTGCGTTTGCTTAAACAATACTCATAACAGAAAACCCTCATTTTCTATGGGTAAATAAACATACAGACACATTTTCAATTCTTTTTCTTTCTTTTTTAGGGAGAAGGCTGGGCAAATGAAGAAAGAGATTTTTATTTTAAGATTTATTTTTTACTATTTTAATTTGTTTGTTTTTATGTGGGTATGTGTTTGTTTAGTACAAGTGTCCACAGAGGCCAGAGGCACCAGATTTCCCTGGAGCTGAAATTACAGGCTATTCTGAGTCATGTGATGAATGTGCTAAGAATGAAATCTGGGTCCTCTGCAAGTGCAGTAAGCTCTCTTAACCAGTGAGTCATCTTTCCAGCTCTGAAAGCAAAATCTCCTTCCTTCCCTCCCTCCTTCCTTCCTTCCTTCCTTCCTTCCTTCCTTCCTTCCTTCCTTCCTTCCTGCCTTCCCTCCCTCCCTCCTTCCTTCCTGTCTTCCTGCCTTTCTCCCTCCCTTTCTTTTTTTCCTCCTTAAAACAAGGTCTGTCTTAGTCCTGGCTGTCCTGGAGCTTGCTGACCAAGCTAGGCTTGAACTCATAGAGACCCTCTAGGCTCTGCTTCCCAGAAGTAGAATTAAAGGTGTATACACCATACCAGAATTTTTTAAATAAAAAGGGAATTAATTCCTTTCTTCATCTGTATCAGAAGTCATTAAAAATAGGGAATCTAATGTGAATCCATCAAATCACACAGGGCTGACACTGCTATGACCAAGGGTATCCTACCTGCTGGAATTGTGGGAAGACTTCAGGGACTTAGCAGAGATGATGTTGAGGGAAAGGATAGCGTCAACTGCAGCTTCATCTACCTCAGGTTTATTCCTAATACGGCCTAAAAGAAGGGATAAAGAAACCAGAAGGTGAGCACATTAAAAACAAGATAGAACTTTGTCAAGTCAAAAGGTCAGGTAGCTACTTAGCAGAAGGATCACAAGTTCAAGGACAGCCTGGGAAATTTAGTGTCATCCTGTCTTAAAAAAAAAAGGAAAGTAGATCTGGAGAGACAGCTCAGTGGTTATGAGCACTGGTTATTCCTCTAGAGGTCCTGAGTTCAATTCCCAGCAACCACATGGTGGCTCATGACCATCTATAATGAGATCTGGTGTCCTCTTCTGGTGCACAGGCAGAATACTGTATATGTAATAAATGAATAAATCTTTTTTAAAAGTATAAGGGAGACAGCTTAATGGTGGAACACACGCAAGACCCTAGGTTCAATCTTCAGTACCATATCGTAGTGGAAGAGCACTTGCCTAGCATGTGCTCTCTTTTTCACACACACACACACACACACACACACACACACACACACACACACACTTCAGTCTCTGTAATTTAGGTGCTTAGAGATCACTTGGGTAAGCTTAGGATCCTAGTGATTTACCAAGGTTGTCTAATTTGCTTTCCTGTACTAGGATGGAAACCAGAGCTTTGCAGATGTTAGGTAAGGACTCTACCACTGAGTCATGGCACTGATTCATCAAATCATTTTATACCTAACTAACGACAAAGAGCAAAGCTCTTTTATGATCTCACAACCTCTAGTTCTGATCCATGCTCATAGGCAATAGTTGGATGACACAGTAACGGGAACTGGGAAAAAGAAGTTTCTCTCTCTCCCTCTCTTTTTTTTTTTTCCATTATTGGGGATTGAACTCAGAACTTTGCATGCACTAGGTAGTCATTCTACTCCTGAGCCACAACCCCCAGGGTGCAAGAGAGCTTCACTCTCTACTGCACGCAGTACAGAATGACAAATGTCAGGCTGTTCTCAGCTGACGGAATGTACTCACCTACCACCAGTTCACGAACGTCTTTCCAGTGGAGCTCACTGCCCTTCTCATGGATGATAGTCACTGTGATCCTTCGCTGGATGCCCTAGGTAATGGAACAAGATTACAATTTAGAAGAGTGTATTAGAAACTTAACAGGCCCGTTGCTGATCTGGTTTTAAGAGATGCCTTGTAGGGAACCGTGTTTCACTCCTGTAATCACAGAATGAAGCCTGAGGCAAGATGAATTCTTACATCCTGGGAGAGAGACAGAGAAAGAAAGAGGTGGGGGTGGGCGAGGCTGGCGGTGGGTCAGACAGACAGGCAGCTGCACACAAAGAGGTGAGAAAGGCAGAGACAGATCAACAGACTGATTGAGACCCTGTAATATGCTGTAGGGTATGGCACACCACGAAACATGGATACCTGGACAAGAAGTAGTTTTGAACATTTGGCTAAATTTTTTTTTTCTTTTTCTGAAAAAAAAAAATTTTTTTTTTAAGAGATAGGATCTTGTTATGTAGCTCAAACTGGTATTAAACTTACTAAAATGCCAAGACTGGCCTTGAATTCATAATCCTCCTGTATCTGCCTCCTGAATGCTGAGAATATAAAAGTATAGTAACACTAGGCGTTGCATATTATTTTATCAAATGAATAGTATATATTTAAGAAATGTATTTTAATCCACTCAGACTTCATCATCTACCCCCTTAGGAACTTCTGGCTGAGCTTGGTGGCACATGCTGTAATCCTAGCACTTAGAAGATTGAGGCAGGAGGGTCTCTTATATTCAAGGACCTGGGCTACACATGTCTGTTAGAAAAACAAAGAAAAAAACAAAAACAGTTTTAAGGACATAGCTCAGTGGTAGAGTACTTGCATAGTATGTAGTAGGGCTCCAGATTTAATGGCCTGCACAGCCAAAAACAAAACAGGAGAAGAAAAAGCAAAACAAAAACTCTCATTGCCAGGTTACGGTGGCTCATGTCTGCTAAGCCAATGATTGGGAGCCTGAGGCAAGAGATGCATCCCGGGAGTTGGAGGCCAGCTGGAGGTCAGGAGGGAATCTGTCTCAAACAAACTGATAAAACCAAACAAAAGGACTACTGTCAGTGAAACATAAAGCTTCTAAACATATGGAAAGTGTATAAAATTGTACGAGAGCAGCCATGTGTGGAGGTGCACACTTTTAGTCCCAGCACTCAGGGAGGCAAAGGCAGGTGGATGGCTGTCCAGGACAGCCAGGTCTAAAACTGAGAAGCCCTGTCTTGGAAAAAAAAAAAAAAGTACGACAGCAACACAAATGGCAGTGACTGACCTTAATTTTTTCATACAGCGATAAAATGTAATTTGACGACAGCCATCCCTCCAGCTCTTCCTAATGCTCCACCTTGTCACCTTTCTTCCTTTCTTGTTACTTACATCCACCATTCAATTAGCACTGAACACATGTGTGTGGGTGTAGGGCCACTGGCTGGGACATGGACACCCTACCTGTATCCGTGTCCTTAAGGAAGAGTAACTTCTGCAGTAATCACCAACTAATAGTGACTCTGTCAAGGATGAAGCCTTAGGGGGTATCCCCAGATCCTTCTGCTTTTTCTCTTTCTCTTCAAGACAGGGTTTCTTTGTGTAGCCCTGGCTGTCCTAAACTTACTTTGTAGACCAGGCTCGCCTTGAACTCACAGAGATCCACCTGCCTCTGTCTCCCGGAGTGCTAGGATTTTAGGTGTGCACCACCGTGCCCTACCTCCAGATTCTTTTTCAAAATAGCTATTCTAAAAAATATGTATAAAGAGTATATTAAAAACAAAAACAAAAAATGGTGTGATGGCTATTTTGGTTGCCAACTTGACTACATCTGTAAATAACTAAAACCTGAAAATGGCTGGACACACCTATGAGGGACTTTTGCTTAATTAAATAACTTGAAGTGGGAAGATCCTCTCTTAAGCTAGATCTTGGAGGTCAGAATATACACCTTTAATACAGATTTTTTTGTTTGTTTTGTTTTGTTTTCGAGATAGGGTTTTTCTGTGTAGCCCTGGCTATCCTGGACTCACTCTATAGATCAGACTGGCCTCAAACTTGGTAGATCCACCTGCCTCTGCTCCTAAATGCTAGGATTAGAGGTGTGTGCCACCACCACCCAGCTAACCCAGATCTTTTGAGGTGGGAAGATCCACCTGTACTCTGGGCCACACTTTCTACTGGAAGTCTATAGAAGGACATGGAGAAGGAAGTCTTGCTCTTTGCCTGCTTGTTCTTGCCTTGCTATCAAGTCCATTCCTTCACTGGACTTAGAGTCTACTTCTTCAGGGTTCCAGTGAATACTGAAGACCAGCTGAGACATCCAGCCTCATGGACTGAACAACTATTGGATTCTTGGACTTTACATTCACAGGCAGCCATTATTGAACTAGCTGGACCATAGCCTGTAAGTCATGCTAATTAACACCCCTCTCATCCATCCATCCATCCATCCATCCATCCATCCATCCATCCAGATTCATTCTATAAATTCTGCTACTCTAGAAAACCCTGACTAATATAAACAGAAGCAGTATTTGTAGTTTTATGTTCAATTCCCATCTATTTCCTACCCTGCTAAATAAAGGGAGAAGGACAGGAAAAAACAAAAATGTCCTCCCATATCCCCCCCTCCAAATAGAGATGAAAAACTGAGAAATCTGTTGTTCTCTCTCAGACATCAGTACCTGGTGCAGCAAAAATGTCCCGTGGCAGGGTAAGCCTGCTGTGTGGTCAACCACAGCTGGAATATACCTATAAAAATAAAAACACAAAAGACAGAAGTCAGGGCTACTTCCCCTGCCAAGCCTTCCTGGGTTGTTGCAGTGGTGGGGGTCTCTCTGTGCCCTCTGCACTCTGGCCCCATGCAGGCACTTAATCACAGAACCACCTGCATCTGTCCACCTGCCACATACCCGTTTCTCATCATCTCTGCTACTATTTAAAGGTACTAAATAGTAATGTGGTCCTGGTTCCATCTTTGTTCCTTGCATAATAATTCAGTAAATAATGTATAACTTATAGAACTGAGTGGAAATAAGAAACAGACAATTTCCAATTCTAAATATTTTAAGCTCCAGAAAGCAATTAATTCAGTAGAAACCATCACTGTAACAATGTCATCATAATGCAAGCTATGATAACATTGCCAATCTGTTTATGAAAAGTCACATTCTTCCAAGTGACTGACAACTCAAGAGTTACAGAGCTATTTTAACACAGGGTCGTATACACGGCAGACACTAACGGTTCATAGTGCTGATCATCACTGATGGTGTTCACTGCATTACACACAGAGGAACACTACATAACAGTTTGTCCCTAATCCGTGTTAATGGATGTGGCTGCCTGCCTGTTTCAGAAGTAGATTCTCTTCTGTGTTTTTCCTAAGGCATTTCAGAAACAACTATAAACAAGAATTGCATTTATCATTTATTCTATCACAGCTCATAAAGGCAAGGAAGCTTATGTTGATCCTGTTCATTTAGGAGAGTAGCTTTTTTCTAGGGATATCTTTGGTCAGCACAACTGAGGAGAGGTGCTACTACCCTCTTCTAGCTACAGGCCAAAGCTACTGTAAACTATCCTACAATAACACAATGGAAAAGAAAGCGGTCTAGATAGTGGCAAGGTAAAAAATTTTAATCCAGGGAAATATTCAGCCCCCACTGCCCTCACTGAGACAGGTATCTAATTGTAAAAGGTTACATTTATTTATTTGTGTGTACGCGTGACAACCATGGCACATGTGTGGAGGTAGAAGGACAACTTGTAGCAGTTGGTTCTCACCTTCCAACATGTATGTCCCAGGGATCAAACTCAGATTGTCATTGGGCTTGGCATCAAGTGCCCATATCTGCTGAGCCATCTCATCAGCCCCCACTAACCTCCATCTGAACCCGAAGCATATCCTGTACAATCTGTTCCACTGATATTAACAGAACCACCACATAGCAGTTTTCCCTCATAACCAAGTGCATTTGGACTCCATCGTATTGCTGTCGCTAAGAAATAATTCTACTGGATGGGCTTTGGTAAACATCGCATTCAGAGATAAGTAGCAAGGCATCCAAATTCAATCCCAAAGAGGAATTTGACACAACATTGATACATGAGCCAAAAACAGGCTCAAAACTATATCTCCAATTCTGAAACACTTTATTTAACAAAAAATTTTTTAATTGGACTTACTCTCCAGTAGGCTCCAGTTCACTGATCTCAAACCAAACCAGAAGGTCATACTTGCTCATGCTCTGCCCAAGGCTGGTTTTGCTCATGGTGTTTAACTTGGTGGCTGGAACTTTTAAAAAGTTTTATAACATGTCAAAATCTGTTCCACATTTACTCAGCAAAAGTACAGGCACTTTAACGTTAGGTTTCCAGAGGGCAGATTTTAGTGCGAAAGACGCAGAGACAGCTCTGCACTAAGTGTATTAGTGTGTCTCATCCAAAGCATCCAAAGAAAGCAGTAGGGTCCTTCTCAAAACACACCAGAAAACAGGTTTTTATATAAACTAAATGTGCTTTATAAAACATTAAAAACCCTATGCTTTCTAGAGTTTCCTATGTGGAGGGATAGCATCATATCACAACCATATCAGGAGATGATGCTTTAAACCCTCCAGTGATTAAAACAAAAAAGACAGATCTGAGACCACTGGTCTGCTCTGTAAATACCTGTAAATAATCTATTAATGTTTCTTCAGATTTAAATTCCACAGTCTTAACAATACTTATGTGGCTTTGGTTAAGGTGCTTACTCTGTGAGTCTCTCCTCAATTTATAAGATGTGGATGATATTTAGTCTACTACTTTGAAAAAGTATTGGGAAGACTATTAGCATAATGTACATGAAGGGGCTTTATCAGTCATGCAGCTTTTCTCAAATGAACAGTCCACTGGCAGTAGTCACCCAGCTGTGTTTCCAATGTGCTGGGGCTGCTAAGAAGGAAACTGGTTACTGTTCTGGTAGTCATCTAAGAAGTACTCAGGAAAGAAAGAGTGGAGGGGAGGGCCTTGAATACAGCTCAGTGGTTAAAAAGTGCTTGTCTAACAGGCACAAGGCCCAGGATTTGATTCAAACACTAAACAAAAACCAACTACTAGACAAAAAAAAAAAAAAGAAAAAGAAAAAAAGAAAGCAAGCAAGCAAGCTGGGCATATTGGTGCACGCCTGTAATCCCAGCACTTTGGGAGGCAGAGGCAGGCAGATCTCTGTGAGTTTGAGGCCAGCCTGGTCTACAAAGTGAGTCCAGGACAGCCAAAGCTACACAGAAAAACCCTATCTTAAAACAACAACAACAACAAAAAAAAAAACAAAAATTACTACTGCAAAAGATACAAACAAATAAGTATTAGGTGGGGTGAAGATGTTGCCTAGTATAAATGAGGCTCTGGGTTTGACTCCTAGCACCCCATAAATTGGGTATATGGTACATACATGAACAGGTATGTCTGTGGATGAGACAGGAGGCCAGAAATTCAAGATCATCCTCAGCTATATAGGTAGTTCAAGACTAGCCTGGGCTCAAGGAAAAAAAACAAAACAAAACAAAACAAAAAACTAGGGCATCTCAAACTCAGAGGGATATGAAAGAGAGGGAGGGGGTATAAAGGTGTTCCCTACAGTCTCCCTGAGGGAACTGTGATGTGATCTTGACACTGTGCAGAACTCTACAGTAAACTAGGGGAACAAACAGAAACATCGGTGTTTCACACATGGCGAATTTGGTTCTACATCTAAAGCAGAGCTAGATTAGCTACTAACCATATTTTTTGGGTACCCTTTCACTCTGGAAGCTGGGGACTGGCACAAAGAGAAAAGGCGGCAATGAATCAGCCTCATTCTGGAACGTGGCAACAGCAGAGGAAGCTAGCACACTGGCGTGCTCAGAAAACGTATCCAACACATGCACATTCACATAGTCAGACATGAGAAACCGTATCAGATCAATCTTTCTTTCATGGTCTGAAGGCCAATGGGGAGGTGGAATATAGAGGGAGGAGAGTGAGCATGGGGAAGGGTGGGAGTTTGGAAAGTGGGCAGTAAGAAAAAAAATAAAAGAGAAAGCAAGATAAATGAAGAGAAACAAACTCTGGTATTCTATTGCATAATAGGGTATCCATTATTATCAATGTCAAAATGCTACACAAAAAGATCTTAACTATACTTAACTACAAATGCTTAAGATACAGATATGCTAACTTCACTGATGTATAATTACATGCATTCCTCAAAGTATATAGCTACAAATGCATTGTATTATACCATAATTATGTATATGTATATTATTATGTGTCAATCAAGAACAAAGTCCCAACAACAAAATTGAACATGCAGAATAAATTTAATACACAAAGAAATGTTGTGACTGACAGAAGTAATTACATATAAAGCATAGAGATTTAAGAAGGAGGAGATTATCAAAGTCTAAATGAGAAGACCAGAGAGACAAAGCCAAATTGTTTGACTTCTCATCTCAGATCAGGAACCATACATTCTTGTTCCTGCTAAAAATATAGAAGAGGAACATATAAGGACACAGAAAGAGGGAATTCCAGTGTGACTCTTGCCTGAAAATTATTCAGAACAGATGTATACACATTAGAGAGAATATAGTTGCTGCTCACCTGGTTTGGAGAGTGGCATGGGTGGGGGGAAGAATCTTCGAGATGGCTGAGGTGGACTGCAAAGAAAGAAGGAAACCATTCCTTATGACTAAAAAGAGTTAAGTGTTGATGTTAATAGCATGCTTAAAATTTTTTTTAATTTTTTATTTATTTAATTTTATTTTATGTGCATTAATGTGAAGGTATCAAATCCCTTGGAACTGGAGTTACAGACAGTTGTGAGCTGCCATGTGGTGCTGGGGATTGAACATAGGTCTTTAGGAAGCGCAGACAGTGCTCTTAACCACTGAGCCATCTCTCCAGCCCCCTTAATTTTTTTTTTAGAGGTTTTATTTTTATTTTTATTTTCTTTTGTTTTTGTTTTTTAAGACAAGGTTTCTCTGTGTAGCCCTGGCTGTCCTGGAACTCACTCTGTAGAACAGGCTGGCCTCCAACTCACAGAAATCTGCCTGCCTCTGCCTCCATAGTGTTGGACTTAAAGGCATGCAACACCACCCCCAGTATTCCATTGCTTAAATCTTTTTAAGAAAACAGATACCCTCCTCCCCCAAAAAAGATAACTAACACAATCCCACACAGAGACCAACACATTTTGATAAAAGTCTCCCTGTACATCTCAACTAGCACTACCACCGATAAAAGCTCATGTCTCTACCAGGCACAGTAGTGCACACCTTTAATCCCATACTATGAGGCAGAGGCACACAGATCTCTGTAAATTTGAGCACAGTCTGGTCTACTATAGTGAGTTCCAAGACAGCGTGGGCTACATAGAGAGACCCTGTCTCAAAAACAAAAACAAACAAAAGTCATGTCACTGATCTTCTCATTAGTTGTGATGACTCCACGTTGACTTTGTACTTCATAAAGTAAAGGTTGTCAAAAACAATTACATGCATGTTCTAGCTCTATTGCACCAACTTTCTACCCTATTAATTTTTTTTTTTTCTTACAACAAAAAGAAGGTATTCAATGTTATCTGGACAGAATTCAACTGGCTGTATAGCTGAACTGGTGATTCGGTTTGCTACAAAAAAGTAGTGACATTTCTTAAGAGTAAAAAGAGGGTACTGTATAAATCTATTATTTAGTTATCTGCATCCCTCAAAAGTTCTTTTTTTTCCCCAGCTGGTGGTAGTGGCGCATACCTTTAATACCAGTACTTGGGAGGCAGAGGCCGGTGGATATCTGAGTTTGATACCAGCCTCATCTACAGAGTGAGATCCAGGGCTACACAGAGAAACTCTGTCAAAAAGAAACAAAAACCAAACAACAAAATAGTTCTTTTTCAGTAACCAAGAAACTAAAACTCAAAACGGCAACAACAATCGAAGTCTGCTCACTCAAACCTGTTAGGATCTTGCCCTTGCAGATGAAGTGGGTGCTGCTGATAGTGCCCAAAGACCTCAAATACGATGGGCTTGGTTTTGATGTAGTCCACAAATGACTCAGTGACCTCCACTGCAATCTAGTAAGAGACAGTCAAAGGAGGCTCGGGTAAGATTATGATCAGAAGGCCTCGTCTGTGCTTCCGGCAACCTTCAGCATTGAGCACCCTGTATGCGCTGGCACTTCACCACCCAGGCTCCTCCACCACAAGACAGGTTTCCCTCCGCTTTTCATTCCAATGTGACCTTACCAAGTTCAGCATTCAAGATCCTCCACAATGTAGCGGAATCGACCTTATCCTGATGCTACCCAACATTTCAAGACTTGCCTCGTGCTCTCTCTACCTGCTTGTTTGTTGTGCCTGGGAATGGCCCTGGCTGTAACTCTAAGAAGGCATTCCCTCCAAAGCCCAGGTGAGTCAGTAAAAGAGGTGGGGAAAAAAAACCCAAAAAACAAAAAACGTGTTGAATACGGATCATGAGCAAGGTGCAATGCCAAATTGCACACACTTTTTTTCTTTTTCTTACCTTTTATTCATGCTACATTTTTCAGAAAATTTACCTTCTCTACATAACTATTCTCTCTCACACGAAAAAGTAACTTAAAATCTTTCTATAGGAAAAACATTCCCTTTTGTATTTAATGAATACCTTTCTCATGTCCCCATACTCTATATTTCCCCTTATTAATTCTAAGCCCCTTGAGGAAATCTCTGGTTTTATGAGTCAGAGGCTTGTTAAACAGCTGATCAGCATTTACCAAATACATATTTCATTTTTAGTTACAGGTATGTGTGTATGTCTATGTTTGGGACAAGTGCATGTTGAGTGTGTGAACAAGTGTCCTCAGAGGCCAGAAGAGGACTTTGGGTCCCTTGGAGCTGGAGTTACATGAGCCGCTGCATAGGGCTGGGAACCTGACTCGGGTCTTCTACAAGCGCAGTGCATTCGCAACTGCTGAGCCAGCTCTCCAGCCCCGCAGTCATGCTTCAGTTTACACTTTATTTTGTTTGTCCGTTCCTCTCATTTTATCTATTAAAACAACTGTGGCTGGCCCCTCTCCCACTTCACAGAGTAGACACGATCAACAAGAAAAAGAAAGGCAGTTTGGGAAGGCAGTGAAGATTCTGGGTGCTACAGCCACACTTTGTGTTTAAACGCTCTTCTTGCCTCTTCCCAGCTTGGTAACTTGGGTGAGTGGCACAAGCTGCTCAGTACCTTAGTTTCCCCAGTGGTAGCATAGGGATTAGAACAGTCAATGGAAGACTAAATGGCACAGAAAACAGAACAGGGACAATACCAAATGAATTCTTAATGAAAATTAGTATTACGATGACAAGACTTTGCTTTTTATGCTTAATTAACTTGTTGTGCGTGCATGGGTACTTGTGCTATGGGACACATTTGGAGCCAGAAGACAACTTGTGGGAGTCAGTTCTCTCCTTCCACCGTGTGCATCCTAGAGACTGAACTCAGGTCATCAGGCTTGTCAGTAGCGCTTACACCTGCTGAGCCATCTCACCACTCCCCTGAAGATGACTTCTGAATTGAGTTTGAATGAAATTTTATAAGTTGGAAAGCCCACTTCCTTGCTTCATGTATTAGGAGAGTTGTAAGGGGCATGAACAGGTAAATCACAGCCCCTGGGGAAATGCTCTAAATCATAACTCAGCTACAGAAGGTATTTAATGTCTTCTGCATTACTGTAAGCAATGATGAAAGTACCTTAGAGTTTACAGGATACTATGTTAACTTACCAAAACTGATAGTAAACATGCTCCTTTTTTAAAGATAAAAACATTTTTTAAAAATGCACACTCAAACTGACAGAAGACTTCTTTGGGAGACTAGATTGCACATTCAGTGTGGGCCACCATAATTCGGTGAAAGACTGGCTGTTCCTTCCCTGAAGACCTCACTGCCTTGGCCACCATCTCTACGGCTCATTCTCTCTGCAAAGCTCTCCTATCCAAGCACAAAAGACAGCTCACACCTCACATGACCATTCTCCTTACCCAACAAAATCAGCGTACCTAAACCTGAGAGATGTGTGGCAAAATATTCAGGATACTCACATTCTGTACATGATAAAAGCCCAGGGGACTTCCTCTTCCATTGTTTTTTAGGGGTTCAGTGGAGAATGCTTCATCATGCCGATGCAAAAAGCTTAATAAAGAGACAGATGAATACTGCATTAGAATTCATCAGAGTCTGTTTTTGGTTTGTTTTGGGAGAGTCTCTATAAGGCCCAAGCCTGCCTCAAACTCATAGCAATCTGCCTTCAGGTGCCGGGAAACACAGTGTGTGCTGCCACATCAGCAGAATGTTTTCAGAGCCCACGCTCGACTCTACAGTGAGGAGCACGCTAACAAAGCACTTTTTGTTTGTTTGTTTTTACTGAGCCAAATGATGATTTCTTTCCATGTCAGCATTTTCCGTATCATATAGATAGTATTTCAGATTCAAAAATCACTGAAAAATTAAGTGACCATGATTGTTTACCTAAATGGACATATACAAGCATGACTTATGGAGTAAAGAAGTTAATTCAACAAATTTGTAGCAGGATATGGTGGTGCATGACTGTAACATGAGCACTCAAGAAGGAGAGGTGGGAGAACTGCAAGGTCTACATAGCAGTTCCAGACAGCCAGGGATACTCAGAGAATCTCTGTCTTAAAGTAAGGAAACCCAAATGAACAAACCTACCCCCTAAGCCCATTAAACAAATGAAACAATCTATTCCCCCAAAACCCAAAAATCAAATGAACAAAACTACTCCCCCCAAACAAATGAAAAAACGTATACACATACCCCCACCTGGGCCTGGTGGCACATGTCTTTAGTCCCAGCACTCAGAGAGGCACAGGCAGGCAGATTATGAGGCCAGCCTGGTCTACAAAGAGTCCAGGACAGCCATGGCTGTTACACAGAGAAACTCTGTCTCGAAAACCAAACAAACCAACCAACAAGCCACCCACCCACCCAACCAACCAAAGAAACCGAAAACAAAACTTACCCCCAAACCCAAAAAAAACAAATGAACAAACCTACTATACCAAAACCCCCAACTAACAAACCTACTCCAACCCCTGGAAAAAAAACCCAATCAATAAAGCATGAAGTCTTGTTATTTTGCAGAAGTTTTTCATTTGTTTGTTTGTTTTGCTGAAAATGAAGCCAGCTGGGAGGTGGTGGAGCACACCTTTGATCCCAGCATTTGAGAGAGAGGCAGGTGGATCTCTGTGTTTTCAAGGCCAGCTTGGTCTAAAAAGTGAGTTCCAGCATAGCCAAGGCTAAGCAGAGAAACCTTGTTGAAAAAAAGAAAAGAAAAGAAAAGAGAAGAGAAAAGAAAAAAAGAAAGAGAGAAAGAAAGAAAAAAAGAGAGAGAAAGAAAGAGAGAAAGAGAGAAAGAAAGAAAGAGAAAGAAAGAAAGAAAGAAAGAAAGAGAGAGAAAGAAGAGAGAGAAAGAGAGAAAGAGAGAAAGAAAGAGAGAAAGAAAGAAAGAGAGAGAGAAAGAAAGAGAGAGAAAGAGAGAAAGAAAGAGAGAGAAAGAAAGAGAGAAAGAGAAAGAAAGAAAGAGAGAAAGGAAGGAAGGAGGAAAGAAGGAAGGGAGGGAGGGAGGGAAAGAGAAAGAAAGAAAGAAAGAGAGAGAGAAAGAAAGAAAGAAAGAAAGAAAGAAAGAAAGAAAGAAAGGAAGAGAAAGAAAATGAAATCATATAATATAGAGAAAACTTGGCAAATCTGCGCCTCTGCAGGAGCAGTCAAATGGCACACGGTAGCCTGGCTTAGGAGTCTTCTGTCTAAAAAGGAGATGCTCAAATGCCAGGAAATCTCCTCGGACCTACTTCTCCTTAAAAGTTATGATTTCACCATTTACAATGATACACTTATGTGCTTGTTTTTCCAGCAAGGGTTTACCCATAAGGTTTGACACACAGATGGTCCTCTAAAAGGCCAAATGGAAAAAAGACTATATTTTAAAATTTTAGGTTTATGTTGTTTCAAGTGTGTGAATGTTTTGCTTGCATGTGTGCATGTGCACCACATATGTGCCTGGTGTCAAGGAGGAGGTCAGACCCCTGAGACTGGAGCTAAGGATGGTTGGGAAGCACTTTGTGGATGTTGAGATCTGAAGCTGGGTCCTCTGCAAGAGTAGCAAGTGCTCTTAACTACTGAGCCAGTCTCCAGTCCCCAAAGGGGGAAAAAGATTTTGAATAGGGGAAAATATCAGTATATGCTCTTGTGGATTTTCCCATCAGTCCATCCACAGGTCTGAGGACGTCAGTACCTCCGCCGAGTGCTCCTAATTACCAATGATTTGTACTGCTGCACTGTAGCATTCTGTGCTTATGCAATGTCTTTTCTCAACTCTTTTTAAAAAATATTTATTTTCATCTTATGTGCACTGGTGTTTTGCCTGCATGCATGTCTGTGTGAAGGTATCATATCCTGGAGTTACAGACAGTTGTAAGCTGCCATGTGTTGCTGGGACTGAACCTGGGTCCTTTGGAAGAACAGTCAGTGCCCTCAACTGCTGAGCCATGTCTCCAGCCCCTTCTCAACTCTTTTTTTTAATACACATATTTAAATATTTTGTTTTATTTTATCTGTATGTTATTTTGCTGTATATCTACCAGTGTACCACATGCATGTACATTTGTGCCCACAGAGGCCAGAAGATGGCATCAGAGTCCCTGGAATTGTGTACCCCTATGTAGACGTCCATGAATTGGACCCAGGTCCATTGGATGAGCAGCTAGTGCTCTTAATTCTAAGCCATTTCTCCAGTCCCTTAGGCAGTATCTCTGTTTTCTTTCCTTCTCTTCTTGTTCCACCACTCCCACTCTATTTTTTCCTTTTCCTGGCCATATATACTTTTTCTGCCAGAGGCACCCATGAGCACTACTGGGTCTGAACTGCCACCCCAGTGGCACTGATAACTTTCTCTTTAATGCTCCAGAGTATCCCTATACACTTCATACAGTAGTTGTTTTTCTTTACATTATGTAAATTTCCTTTTTCCAAAGTACTAAATATATAAAACTGTTGGCTAGACAATTTGTTTAACTGTTTTGTTTTTTTTTTTTTTAATTTTTAAAAGAGATTTATTTATTTATTATGTACACAATGTTCCACACACCTGCACACCAGAAGAGGGCACCAGAGCTCAGTATAGATGGTTGTGAGCCACCATGTGGTTGCTGGGAATTGAACTCGGGACCTCTAGAAGAGCAGCCAGTGCTCTTAACCTCTTGAGCCATCTCTCCAGCCCTTAACTGTTGTTTTTTTAAGAAGACATGTCAGCATGAAAAGCACTGAAAACTAATGGGCTTATCTGGATCGGATACTATGTTCGCAGAATTATGGGACACCACAGAGTCCTCTAAAGAGGTGTGCTGTACACTCCCTGGGGGAGCCCTTGAGTCATTCCAGTGAAGGGTCTTGACCCTTATTCTCATCTTGAGTGAAGAAAGTCTCTTCCAGAGAGCTGTCATGTTTTATCTCTCAAGTGCTTTAATCTTACACATGTGTAAAGCACTTACAGCAAGGACATCTCTGCAGTTAGCAACTTGCTTGATGGGCACAGCAAAAGGGCAGTGTGTTTTTATTAATGAGAAATGGCCCCATAGGTTCATGGATTTGAGTATTTGGTCCCCGTTGGTAGCTGCTTGGGAGGTTATGGAGAGAGAGCCTCGCTGAGGAGGTTCATCCCACTTCCTGTTCTCTCTCTCTGCTTCCTGTGTGTGGATGAAAATGTCATTAGCCAGCTTCCTGCTCATGCTGCCATGCCTTCTGCTCTGCCAATATGTGTTCTACCCCTCTGAAGCCTAAATTAAAGGTTTTTCTTTTCTAAGCTGCCTTTTGTCAGAGAAGCCTATCACAACAACAAAAAAGTAATTGATACAGGTGGCTTACTTGAACTGACAAAAGATGTCTGCATACTCTGGAAGGATCCCACTGGCCTGTAGCACAGTGACTCGGAAGGTGAAGGCACTGCCCAGTTTCAGGTGGTTGCCGATCTCTTCAGAAAACCCTTCCATCACCATCTTCCCATCCAGCAGAGTACCTGACTTCAGATCTAAAGAGTGAAACAACACACAGATGGTTCAAGTACTATGACAAGAAGGGAACTGGGCACTCTTTTCTGTTTCTAGTTGAGCAAAGCGATTCTGTTGCTTGACTGTGGTGCTCACTGTTTCCTACTGAGACTCCTCAAGAACAGACATCTGTCTACGTACCCAAGTCATTCATTCGGTTGACTTCCTCTGGAGGACTGATAACGTCAGAGCTCTGACCTTGTCCTTCCACAATCCTCAGTTCCTCCAAAGACAGACCAGAACGAGTCATTGCAACTGAAGAAAAGTCACTCTGCAAGTAAGACAAGGCCAGGTAAATGACATATTCTCCATTTCTACAAAATGATAATTAAATGGACTAAGCTGTCTGAGAAAAGGCAATGTGCTCCTGTAGTTTTATCTCTGTGACTGCTAGACACATCCCATAATTCACTGAGTGACTGCATCTTAAAATTGCTAAATGCTATAAAAGGGAATTGGGTGCCAGCATTGGACACTTTCCTCACAAATCCATTTACTTCCTTTCTTTCCCCAAGGTGTTTCTTTCTTCCCAAATACTTCTTACCTGATTAAAGTATTCATTATCAAAAGATATTTTAGCTGTTCCTGATTGTCGAATTCCAGAGCCATAATCAGGAGCTTCTTCATCAGCTAAATAGAAAGAAAGCCAGCAAAGACTGAATGAAAGTACATGTGGGAGGAGGGAATAGCTCTTCCTGAATTATTAAGTCAGGAAGAAAGACCTTAGTGTAAAAATGAATGGCACTGCAATAAAATTATAGTCACGGCTTCCAACTATTTTGTAGATTAACCATCTTCCTCTGCTCAGACGAGAATAGTTAGAAAAGAACTGGTTTCAATCTTGAGTTTGTTTATACTGCCACACCTACATATTCTGACCCCTTAACATCTTGCCAAGATTATACTCAATAACCGGGCAACAAACATTGAAACATTCTACTGACTTGTGGAAGACTTTATATTTACATAAAGCTCAGTATGGATGACAATGTGATAGTTTTTCAAGGGATAAAGGCTGACAGGTCATTATCTGCAGGACAGCATTTATCAGTTAAGACAGAAAATGGCCATATTTTTTACTCATAATGTTGGCATGATCATGGAGAAGCAGAAAATATCATAATTTTGATCCGTGTATTACATTTGGCAGTGAAATAAATGCTCTCTGTTTTGCTCTGTTTTGAGAAGGGTCTTACGTAGTCCAGGCTGGCCTCAAACTCACTGTTAGCTAAGACTGACCTTCAACTCCTGATCTCTCTGCTTCCACCTCCGTGGGTATGTGCCACTATGCTCAGCTGCAATAAGTAAGAACAATATACAATCCTTTTTTACTCTCCAACAGTTAGACACACTAATTCAAAGCCCATTGGCTAAATGTGGTGGCTCATACCTGTGAAGCCAGCACTCAGGAGACCAAGACAGGAGGATTGTTGTGAATTCAGGATAGCCTCGACTACACAGTGAAACCTTAAACTAAAAAAATTAAGAATACAAAAATAAAATGTCCAACACTTGAGCCAAGCACTGTGGTGTATGTTTACAAATGTTGGAGGCTGAATTTGAGGTCAGCCTGAGCTATACAGAAAAGATACTATCACAAACAAAAAGAGACTATGAGATTTCTTTTTTTGGTTGTTTTGTTTGGAGGGAGGGTCTTACTACATAGCCCTGAGACCAGACTGCCCTTGAACTCACAGACCTCTGTCTGCCTCTGCCTCTTGAATGCTGGGATCAAAGGAGTATTGTGCCACTATGCCTGTTTTTTTGTTTTGTTTTTTTGTTTTTTTTTTCTATTGTTGTTGTTCTTTTGGCAGGGAAGGAGATTCTGAGACAGGGTTTCTCTGTTCTGCAAAGCTCTGACTGTCCTGGACACTCTTTGTAGACCAGGCTGGCCTCAAACTCAGAGACTGCCTCTACCTCTGTAGCACTGAGATTAAAGATGTGTAGCACCACGCCTGGCCAGCTTTTTTTTTTTTTAAAGACCGTGTCTTACTATGTAACTCAGGCTGACTCTGAAACTATACAAACCACTGTGCCAGTCTAAACTGTTCACCACTTTACAAAGTCAGTCCAAGAGCTATTCATGTTGCACACCATTTTTCCTAAAATAGCAATATCCCAGAATAAAGTGAAATCTACTTGAGGGCCAGGGTAGCAGGTAAAGTTAATAGAAGGAAGCTTCAAGGGGCCATCCCCAAGTAGAACACATTAGCATTTATGTATGTGACTGAAGTGTCCCTGCATGGAGCTAGTCTGTCTTTTCTATGATTTTTTTCTTCTTTAAAAATTTTATTTTATGTGCATTGGTGTTTTGCTTGCATCTATGTCTGTGTGAGGGTGTTAGATTCCCTGGAACTGCAGTTACAGACAGTTGTGAGCTGCCACATGGGTGCTGAGAACTGAACCTGGTTCTTCTGGAAGAGGAGCCAGTGCTCCTAACTGCTGAGCCTTCTCTCCAGCCCCTAGCCTGCTTTTTCTGTAGGAAAGAATCCAGAGCTTTCATTTGGAAAAAGGTCACTCACCTGCAATGGCCTGCACAGCCACACGAAGAAATCCCCGAACTTCCCCCTTCTCACTGACAATGGCCACCCTGTGAATCAGGGGCACCGGATACAGCAGGTTGCTCAAGTATACAAATGCCCTGTGGACAGAAGCCCAGAGACAAACATCAGAACATCTGAGGAAGGAGAGGCTGAGTGCTTCTGCTTCCCCAAACTCAGCTGGCTTCTGGGCCTTTTAAGATCCACTCTGAATTCTGACCTCTTAAATTGCCTCCAGCTGCTTTTTCAGACCATCGATACGTAAGCACATGCAAATGCATGGCAACGCAGCTGACAAAGACCAACTTACACCAAATTACTCTACAAAAAAATTACACCAAAGGGAGAAGAGTAACAATTGGAAGTAGATGTTCAAGGACTGTGAGTTCTGTCAAGGAGAAAGGAGCCCACTGAAGTGCTTAGCCTCCAGAGGTCAGGCAGGATGCACCAAGAGATCTGGCTGCTCTCCATCCACAAAAGAGAAATCAAGAGACAAAAAGGCAGGAAAGTGTGAGTGAAATACAGTTACTCGTTCTAAAATGGATTTTATATCACAGCAGTATGAGTCTTTGTTTTACTTAAAGGATGATTAAAAAGGTGAGAGAAACAGACATGTTGGCAGAGAGCTTATGTAACCATAGGGAGCTTGCAGGGACTGAATGGGACAAGAGAAATACTAAGGGAGAGGACACAGCTGGCCCTTATGGAGTTGGCCTTTGCTCCTCAAACCAAAGTCATAAATAAAAGGGAACTTACAAGTCTCTCCTGCTTCCCTTTTTTTGTGGCCCTGGGGGAGAAACTCAGAAGTCTCATACTTAATACGTAATCCTCAACACTCAACTGCAGCCTCAGCCCTTCCTTTGAGACAAGGTCTCACTAAATTACTCAGGCTGGCTTTGAGGTTACTCTGTAGCTTAGATAAGCCTTAAAAATCTCAATGCTTCTGTCTCAGCCTTCTAAGCAACTGAGAAGACAGGCCTGACCTACTAGACCTGGCCAACACATGATATACATGACACACTCTAACAAACTAGACAAGAACTATCACGTTTGTGCTTTTTTAAAGGTTCACTATTTTGCAGATTTTTCCCCCTGAGACAGGATTTCTCTGTGTAGCCCTGGATGTCCTGGAACTATCTTTGTAGATCAGGCTGGCCTTGAACTCACAGAGATCTGCCTGCCTCTGCCTCCCAGAGAGCTGGGATTAAAGGTGTGAGTCAGCATGACCAGCCTCTTTTTATTTTTATTTTATTTACTGTTCTCTCACTGTGTGTGTGTGTGTGTGTGTGAGAGAGAGAGAGAGAGAGAGAGAGAGAGAGAGAGAGTGTGTGTGTGTGTGTGTGTGTGTGTGTGTGTGTGTGTGTGTGTTGTGGGTGAGAGTTTGACATGCCCCGAGTGTGGAGGATGGAAGACAACTGTGAAAGAGTCCTGTCTCTCTTTCCACTATATGGGTTGCACAGACCAAAGTCAGATAGCCCAGCTTAGTGCAAATACCTTTGCTCACTAAGCCATCTCACCTGCCCCATTCATTTTTTACTTAAAACAATTAAAACTGGTAATCACAAATTTTAACAGCTCTTGTTCCAATGATCAGAATGAAAAGTGGAATCTAGTTCCTACTGTTACTCCTATCTTCTCACTTGGTATATGCTGATCTTTGTACAGAAAACAAAAGACAGTAAATACTATACCAGGAAATTAAATGCAACTAAACTTGACACACAGGGCTATTTTGGCATTTCTTGATCTAACATGTATGTTATAACAAGGAGAGAAGGATGAAGGATTGGATACTTGGATTTCAACTCAAAACAATAAAAGCAATTCTGCAAATAGGTAAAATACATCACAATAATACCATTTAAGAACATAAATGACATATGAATGAAAAGCAAACAAAAGTAACTGCAAATGAACAGAAAACTGTATCATGATGTCTAATTCCCTTTCAGTCTGCTCCAAAGCAAAGGAGGGAATATTAACAGAGGGTTAAACTTTTGTTGAACAAAAACTTATAAATGAAAATGTAATCTAAAAAGGATTACAAACAAGGTCATCAAACACCACTACCATGAGTTTAAAAAACTAAGAATTTGGCATATGGAACCAAACAGCTAATTTCACTTCCAAAGACAATACACAAACAGACCACACTTCTGCCTCAATGGCATCTAGTCAGACCTGCCCACTTTCAATAACTGGACCATTGAGAGCAATCATATGTCTCTTCCCATAGTCCTCTCTGCTCTCATCTTCACCTCATGCTTTGATTTCACATCCTTAGATCTTAGTGTAAATGATACTTTCACGACAGGTCGTTCCAATATTATACAACTCACATGACACACACAATTCTTTCACTGTGGCTATAATTAACATTTATGCCATAATCTTAGTGTCTTCATCACTCACCAGATTATAAGACTGTGAGGACAGAAACTCTCTCTGGTTTTGCTCATCTATATGTAGAGGCTGTGGTTTGTAGTAAATACACTCAAATATCTGGCAAGTGAGTATCTATGTATGTTACAAACCAGGAATGTGATCTGTCCTTTCTCTTTACACAGAAGTGGAAGGTCTTTCAGAAAAAAATGAGTCCTACCAGTGGCAGAAAAGCAAGCCATCCAACTTTACACTAGGTTGATTTTTCAAAAGCAAACTCAGGATAAAAGTTAACTACAAAGAGTACTTGGAATCCTGCCATTATTTAATTTTACTATGTTAGGTATATTATTAGAAAAAAACAGAAAACCACTGTCATGCCTGTGTTCTCTAGGACCTTGAGCATGTTTCTGGGACCTGGACAGGTTAGGCAGGTACTACACTGCTAAGCAATGTGACTGGCCCACAAATTACTAGTTTTTTAAAACATATATTCACAGGTATATCATCATACAAACAACGCTGGGTTGCACAATAAAGGTGAGAATTCCTTCTGCTGATGGCACAAGCTTTTCTACACACAGAAGCACTGAGGGCATTACTTTACACTTCCATTGTTAGGAACGAGTTTATGGCAAGGCAGAGGCACTGGCCTGTGATACATGGATGTACTCACTAGACAGCTCTTTGACATGTAATCAGAATACGGCCTTGGCCCAATTCTGTATATAGGTTCTTCTCTGAAGCTTTTAAACTAGAATTTTGTTATTAACTCTGTATTGAACATCCTTATACTTTGACCTAGCAGACTGAAGGAGAACAGGGATGAGAGGGAAGAAAATGTAAGACACATTAGCAGAAAATGATGTGAAGTTACAGCAGTAAGAGAAACTAGTTTGTCAACAAAAAGAAAATCAGCATAATTATGGTGATACTTACAGAAAAGATGTCAAATTTAGGTACTTGAGAAAGGTCACAGAATAACCATCTTTTGCCCCCTTTAGCCCAGAAGACTAACATATATTTTATATTTCATCCCAAGTTATGGTGATGGTTCATAACATCCCAACATGCTGTAAGAGAATAGCTAAAGGGACAAGCTCTTTTACTCTTGATACAAAGATTCACCAGAGGCAGCCATAGCCAAAAAGCAAACCTATAAATGGAATTCAAAGAAAACATGCAAATTTTCGTAAGCGAATTATATTTATAATTATGTGCCAATAGGGAAATCTAATACTGTGAATTATAAGAACAGGAAAGAGAGTACACCTTTTAGACACGCTATTACTACTGCATAGCTGAATGCTGCAGCTCTCCTGGAGAGATGTGGCTGAGGGCAAAAGTGATGAGCTCCTCATCCTTTTACTGACTGCTACTTCGCCTTCTCCTGCTTTCTTTTTGTTTGGTGATAGGATCTGAACCTGGAAAAGCACCACTGAGTTCTCCCCAGCCACATCACCAACACCTCGGGCTCCTTCTCACAAGTCAGTAATAGTTCTAGAACCAGAAATCCAAGCAAATAGAAACAACTCCTGAGCCTATAGTGCTATAATATTCTAGATGAAAATCAGTGTAGAGTTGACTGTGTTATATTTATTCTTATATCATCTAATATGACAAAAAGAATAAAACTTTTAAAAATATACATATTTTACTTAACCCGGTGAATGCCCATTCTAGGGAGGATTCTGCCTTAACTCTTTCATAAAAGTGATTCAAGATAAAAATGCTCTTAAGCAAAAGTCTTTTGTTGTTGTTTTTTGAGACAGGGTCTCATGGCATAGCTCTGGCTCTCCTGGAGCTCACTATGGTGACCAGGCTAACCTTGAACTCACAAAGATCTGCCTGTCTCTGTCATGAACCACTGTCTGCCTCCTAAGCAGAAATCTTAATAGCTGTATTTATTTTGCTAGTATGGATAACAGAATATAAAAGATGAAGGGGGCTGGAGACATGGCTCAGAAGAGCACTGGCCCAACAACTACATGGTGGCTCACAACCATCTATAATGAGATCTGATGCCCTCTTCTGGTGGGCACACGTGCATGCATGGAAAATACTATATACATAATAAATAAATCTTTTAAAAAAAGATGAAGGTAAAAAGAATTTTTAAAAAAATTATTCATTTTTTAAACTTTTATTTGCATTGGTGTGGGATCCCCTAGAACTGTTACAGCCAGTTGTAAGCTGCCATGTGGGTGCTGGGGATTGAACCCAAGCCCTCTGGAAGAACAGCTGGTACTCTTAACCACTGAGAGCCATCTCTCTAGCCCCCCCAAAAAGATTTTTTAAGGCTCTTTTTTTCCTAACTCATATAAGTTGCTTGTCCTAAGTTGGTGACAGAGATGCTCAAGACCCAAGGTTCCTCCTGACCACTGTGTCAGGTTTCTCTTCACCAGGATACTTACAAAGAAGTTGCCTACTCCTCAGTGTGATTTAGAACATGGTAAAGAGACTAAGGAGCTGGAGGCAAAGTGACTTAAGCTAATGATCAAAACCTGGTTCAACCTTCTTAGAATATAAATGGAAATGTACTGAGGGATACAGATATCCAGAAAATAAATAAAGCACGATTTTTACATACTTTTCTCAATTTTAATATAAATCAGTTTCTCTAAACTCCTGAGTAACACTGGCAAGAACACCATGAGCAAACACTACTTGTGATTATATAACCTCATCACGTTTCCAAGGATAATCTGCATTATAAAACTCAGAGTGAATATTAATTTAGGCTTTTACTTCTATCTAAAAGCATTTCTTTTTGCTCTTCCATCCCTTCTACAGTGAGTTCATTAGGTATCCGATACCATACAACAACAAAGTTTTAGCCCTGTGTCTCCGCTGTGTCCAGACACTCGCTGCACTGTTACGTGACTGTGCTTACCCACAGTGATAGAGCCCTCATTTGTAAAAGGTCGAAATTGTGTGGTTCTTATGCATCATTAACCTTAATCTTTTTGTTCTTTTTGAAACAGGGTGTCATGTCTCTCAAGGTAGCTTTAACCCCCCCCCAACGAAGCCAAGTTTAACCCTGAACTCCTAATATTCCTGCCTTCACCCCACGTGCTGGGATTGTAGGTGTGTACTACCTGCCCAGCTTAAAGCAATGAGCATTCTACTATCAAACTTCGATTACTTTGTTATGAAGAGGGGACGTGGACCACAGCGATATCAGGAACCTATGCATCTCTGACAGGAATATGCACAGCAAGAACTGGAGACAAGAGCTTCAACACAAAGCAGCTTCGTGTAGTGCAAACAAATAGTGATGACGGTGACAACGGATAACTTTCTGAGAGTCATCATAAATCTACAGGTTATTTCTGTCAGAAGAGCAAGATAGGCTCAGAACACAGCAAGACAGCCATTGTCAACAAAGGAGAGCTAGGCAATCCTGATTCTTTTATATGACCAAGTCCACCGCAGTCCTCTAATTTCTGAGGAGCCACAAATTCTTTTGCCTAACCTCGGGCTTGCTCTGCTCCTGCTCATTTTATCCCCATATGCTTCACTAACCACACTCCTTTAGAGATGAAGCATCTGGACCTCAGTAACATTTGCTAAAGCAATTACACCTGAGTCTTAGCTAAATTACTGGGCAATTTGGGTCAAGCCATCCTCCAGGTAGTCTTCCAAAGTTGATGATGGTGTTGTAAGTAGACTGTGCCTCACAGATAAGGGCTGGGCTTTCTTTCTAGCCAAAACTGCACAAAGAGGCATTTAGAATAAGAGCTGGTCCCTTTTTGCCTTTTTCACAATAACCTCACCAACCTTCCTACTAAAATGAACCAAGGGGATCGGTCGTAAAATGGGTCATGCCCATCACTGAAGAGATCTGATCCCTCTTCCGTCCCTGCGTCAGAGCCGGTGTCATCCACGAATGCCTCATCATCAAAATCCTCCATGTCATCCTGCTGCTCGTCAGCCAGTTCAGTGATGTCGGAATCGGCCGTGGAAAAAGTGGGGGAGGGTGTGCGGTCGGCAAGGCGCTCATTCACACAGCCGTGGAAAATGGGGGAGCTAGACACCAGGTAAGATGCCGATTAACACAGGCAGGGAGAGAGGAATAGTTGGTTAAACAGGATGCTCAGGTACCAGCAGGACAGACTCCACTGACAGAATCAACACGGTAAAAGCAAATAGAAAAGTAAAAGAGTAAAATGGACATGAACTACACGGTTCAAGTAAGAGGGAACAGGAGCAGGTTGGTGAGATCTACAAGGACAGGTCCTCAGAATAAGGAAAGCAAAGAGCATCCATGAGCAGACCAGCTCAGGTAAATATTACACTGCAAAATGTATATGTTCTCCAGTTCACATAAAAGATCAGCATCCTGTCCTCCAAGAGCCACTTACAGGAGAAATAGTAAGGCTTTAAATGTTTGAATTCTCCTGTCAGCTCAGAGCAGAAGACCGTATGGAGGAAGCTGCGTATGGCAAAGCAGCACATGCTGGACAATCCTGAGTCTACCGTCAGAGTGCAGCGGGAAAGGCTGACTTCAACAAAATGCAGTACTTCAGTAACTCCTTTTCAGTTGCTTCCTTCACAAAACATCACAGGGCATTTACAAATAACGAGTAACTCATAATTCTGAAACTAGTGCGTTCAAAAGTCACATTTTCATGGGCCTGGAGAGGTGGCTCAGTGGTTAAAAGCACTGGTTGCTCTTGTAGAGGACCAGGTTTGGTTCTTAGCACCCAGAGTAGCTCACAACCATCCCTAAGTCCAGTTCCAGGGGATCCAATGCCCTCCTCTGGCTTTGGTGGGCATCAGGCATGCATATGGTACACAGACATATAAATAGGCAAAAAACAACACACACACACACACACACACAAACCCAAAACAAAACAAAACCAAAAACATATAAAATAAAATGCTTTTTAAATTTTTGCATTTCCTTGCTTTTACATGTCTAAATCCTCTTGAGAGCTAAATTCCAAACAAATTCACAGAGAAACTTGTTTTCATAAAATGCTGGCAGTGATGCATAAAAGAACTGAAGAGGCCTACCATGGCATGCAATTAGCTTGACTAAACCAAGACAAATTGCTTCAAGGAAAAACAATTGAGGATCAATCAGGTCACGGGCCAACTGCAGTCTGGTAACACACACTGTGATTTCTATTTAAAATGCACAGAATTCAGACAAGTCTTCTTTTTCATCTCAATCTACCTCGATCAAACAGTCTGTGAGTAAGCTGGGAGTTTAGGAGGACTGTCGAACACTCTGGCTAAAGAGCCTGACAGTCAAAGCAATATGCACACTGAGTGAGGCTGAAGCAAGCACATGCAGCAGTGCGGTGCTTCTGAGTGGGCGAGACTTAGAGAGGAGATGGGTCTTTTGGTTTCTTTGTTTTTCCTTCTAATCCTGCTAGGAATTGAACTTGGGACATGCAGGGCTGAACTACAAGCCCAGGCTGAGAAGGGGCTTTTACATAGTCCTTTTTCCCTATATTTTCTACTGACATTTACAAAGTTAAAAGTGCTTGTTATTTTTTTTTTTTTAAGACAACAAAATCATTACATACCTTCCTACAAGTTTGAACCAGTGGAACCGATCGTAGAATGGGTCACTGCCAGTCATGGTCGTCTCGCTTTCGTCTTGAACGTTGGAGGCCATCTCACCTGCCCTGTCGTACATCTCTCGCATTAAATCCAGTCTCTGCCTATTTAGCAAATATGGGTGCACTGAGTAAGACCATGAGATTGCATGAAAACTTTACTTTGGAAACTGCTTGCATGCAAGATATTTTAAAGAAGCTGCTCGTATCATTTAATGTTATTAAAAGCAGAAACAGCCAAAAGCATAGAAACCAAAATGCTCAGTATCCAATATGTGTGAGTAGAGAAAGAAGCCACTAAACATAAAAAAAAAAGAAAAAAAAGGGAAACTAAAAAATGTGTGTGTGTGTGTGTGTGTGTGTGTGTGTTTGTGTACTTGTAACCAAGGAGAGCAATAGAGAGTCAATAGAGAGATCTGATTTTATTAAACCTACAGTCATGGAAGAAATGTAGTTCAATGGTATTTGATATCTTAAATATAACTAGACAATGAGAATTATCTTGTCACATTAAATGTAAAAGAAGAGAAATGATTACTTCTTTGTTTAATTAAAGATTACCGTGAGGCCCAGGATGAAAGTAAGAGAAAGGTAAGTGCTACAGTCAAGACAGAAATGAATATAGAACTGTCTCATTTAACATTTAAGAGGGCTTATGGAAATAAATTTAAAAATTAACAAATGTCAATGTTGTCTGGTAAATGAGTTTCTTTGACTTGAGAAAAAAAAGAATGGATGGCTCAATGTTGACTGATCACAACACTTAAAGGCCACACAGAAAAAAACTGACATCATCCTCAGAGAGAGGTGACTATGAGGGAACCCACTTAAGCAAGTCACTTTTTTTTTCTGTTTGTTTGTTTTGTTTAATTTTTAAACACAGGGATTCTTCATGTAGCCTTGGCTGTCCTGGAACTTGCTCTGTAGACCAGGCTAGCCTCGAACTTATAGAAATCTGCCTGTCTTTGCCTCCTAAGTGCTGGGATTAAAGGTGTGCACCACCATGCCAGGCTATTTTTTTCTTTTTAAAAAATTATCTTTAATGAATATTTCCCTACTTGAGTTTATCCAAAGACCAATAATGTGTTGCTCCATTCTTCAGATCCTGGACTTCCACGGCCACCACTGTTCGAGGGAAAGGTCTGTCCTCGTGAGTTTTTTCCATCTCCGTGGGAAGTAATTCAGGAGGCAAAGGTGAGTAGAGTGTGTCAGTCAGCAGAACAAACTGAAACTGCACCTGAAAAGAATAAGGATGGACAAATGTCCACATCACTATCTCAGCAGGTAAGATTCAGAGATATGGTGATACAGCTGGCTGGGCACAAAGGGGTCAAATACAGAGCATATATTCAATAAACAGTTGTGACTAGCTGAAAAACTGGCCATCTACATTTTATTTTATTTCTATGTGTAGCTCTGGCTGTCCTGAAACTTGCTCTGTAGACCAGGTGGTCTGGAACTCACAGATTCACCTGCCTCTGCCTCCTGAGTGCTGTGATTAAAGGAGTACACCACCACCATCTGGATTCCACCTACATTTTAAATTCAGGCACAATTCTAATTTTAAACTCAGGTATTTTATAGGCTTTGTTTTCCTGGAATGGTGATGTGCTTGTTTTTTTTCCACAAACTAAAACTTCAGTAAATATATCTTAGTGAGTGAATGAAGACTCCTATAGAACGTAAACAAAAGACCAGAAGGTGGACCCACTTTTTCACTAATGAGAGAAGATGCACAAGCAGCTTTTCAGTTGACCGCAGAGGACTACAGCTATCACTCTTCAAAGCATTTACTATGTAATAAGACTGCATCGTGTCATTTATTTCTTGCTATGCTACCTTGGATTTTTACCAACACATACCAATTAAATAACAGGTACAGCAACAAGAAAAGAAGATACAGTGCCTGACTTTAGTCCACTCAATGAAGAAAATGGTTAATAATTAACTTAAGAAGTGCTTCTGAGACCCTGAGTGAAGATAACACCTATCCCAGTTTACAGATGTAGAACACATGCAGCAGGAGAACAGAATCCATTTCCTCGTCAGGTGTGTGTGTTTCTTCCAACTGTACCATATGGTTCCCAGCTGCTAAGTAGTAAGGAACAACAAAGAATCAAAGACTTCGTGTGAAAATGTGGTAACAGTATTTGGGGGTTGGAGGGCTTAGGTGGCAGAGTGCTTCTTAGGAAGTGCCAGGTCTTGTGTTCAGTTTCCACAGCAGTTGAGGTCTTTGATCATGTCCAGGCACTGTTACTGGTGCTTTGTACGCACTCATTCTCTTCCATCGCTTATCGCCCTTGCCGGCAAACCAGCTTGTAGATGGAGCAATAGAGCTACAGAACTTTTAGGGCATTCAACTGCTCTGGGTTAAACTACGGCTGTCTGAGTGCACAGCACACATGCCTGTCCGCTACCCAGGGTCTCTCAGGCCCCAGAAGGGAACAAATTGGTGACAAAGGGGCATAGAGGTCTCAGAGGTGTAAGCTAAAGATGGAAGAAACTAGAAGAAAACCAAGATTTTTCCCCCCAGAAATCTAACAGAAGCATTTATCTATTAATAAGTTTATCCAGATCTCCTTTAAAATACTCACATTTGTAAAATATGCCAGAAAACAGCCGTCGTAAAATTTTTAATTGCAACCTACATTGTGCTGGCACATATATGGAATGAAGCTGGTTCATGGCACAGCACGACTGAATTCCGCAAGTAAAAAATTAATTTAAGGCTATTAATTTAAGTGGACCCACTCAGCCTCTGAATCACCTGTGTTCTCATCACCCTTCATACCTTCTTCTTCAGTTCCACACTGATGGCGTTGGCTTCCTTCAGGTACACCGCATTGCCCCACAGTAAGTCCCTTAATGAAGTAAACTGGTGACATTTCCATTTCCGGAATGCCCACTGGGCTAACTCAAACTCATGCTGTGTCCAAGGAACTGTAAGAGCAGAGAGAACATACTGACCGACTTCATAGCCACAAGGAGCCTCACCCCCTGCACAGCACGTGTACTTCCACAAACCTAACCACAAGAACACTGTTCTGGGTTGTTTGCTTTGTGTGTGACAGGCTTGCATGCAGCCTAGTTGGCTTCAACTACGCTATGTAGTTAAGACTGGCCTTGAACTCCTCATCCTCCTGATCAACCTTCCTGCTGAAGTTGCATACATTCCTCTTCTTTCTTATTTATTTGTTTATGTATTTATTTTTCCAGACCGGGTTTCTCTGTAGCCCTGGCTGTCCTAGAACTCACTCTGTAGACCAGGCTGGCCTTGAACTCACAGATCCACCTGCCTCTGACTCCCAAGTGCTGGGATCAAAGATGTGGTCCACCACTGCCCGGCCACATCCCCCTTCTTAAAATAAGTAAATAAATAAAAATTTTATGATATTTATTGGAAACTTCCCAATGTAGTTATTTACTTATTGGGGGAAGGGACATATGCCATAGCATGCATGTAGAAGCTCAAAATACAACTTGAAAGAGTCAGTTTTCTCTTTGAAAATGTGGGTTCGAGACATTAAACTTCAGTCACCAGGCTTGGCAACAAACACAGTTACCTGATGAGCCATCCTGCCAACCCTTTTTTTCTTTTTTTTTTTTTTTCTTTCTCTATTGTTTAGGTCTAATTTTTAAGTCCCTGATCATTATCATATTGTACACTTTCATTACTTGACAATAACTAGAACAAAGCCCCTGATTCAGCTAATAAGTTCTGGAAAATTAAGATAGGCAAGCATGACTAAACAATGTATCAGTCTGTCAGGAATGAATCAGCCATAGTGGCTTACGCCTATAATCCCAGAATTTGAGACACTGTGACAGGAAGAGCAACTCTCGTTCAAGGCTTGACTACAACAGTGTCAAGCCAGAGGATGCTACAAGGCTATCTGGAAAGACTCTGTCACAATCAAACATGTCTGCCTGCAATGACTGTGAGTACACACACCAATTCTATCCAAAACCCTCAGCAGTGACTCTCTGATAGGAACTAGAAAATTGAACAAACTATGTAAGCAGTGATTAATCTCTACATTTACATGAGACTGACTCATGAAGTTCTAATGTGCAGTGATGGGAGTTGGTCTATGTGAAGTTCCCAAAAGATAGTATGAAGTTGGTCCTCAGAAACCTTCGAAGTTCTAGAAACACGATCAATCCTCCCACCCTATACAACACAGTACAGAGCTGCAGCACTGGGCATCTTTTAATTCATCTTTGAGCAGGTTCAGTACAAGGGCAATGAACAGTAGTGCAAATCTGAGGCACCCGGCTTTGTAACACCTTAAAGGACCAATTTGATAACATTAATCCAAAAGACAAAAAGCAATGGGCTCTAGTCCTCACCTTCCTCCTCCTCCTCTTCCTCTTCAGTTGTTTCTGCAGCCAGAGAGCGAGTCTCAACCTGTCTCTGCAAGGCCTGCAATTTACTTTCATAGTCCTGAGTGAAAAGAAAGAGGAAACAGGTAGAGCAGGGAGGAAAGAAGGAGGAAGTGGGGGATGAAAGGAACATGGGGGAAAGTACAGACAACAAAGAACAAACACAAGAAAAGAGGGGAAGGCTGTATCTTGCACATCAAGGAGTCCAGAGAAAGAAAACACCAGGGAAGATTAAGTCACCAGTACCTCATAAGGCCCCAACCTTCTAATGATTCAAAGCGAAGATAATTAAGACTATTAGTTTTGAAGCCCACAGCACCACTGAACTGAAATAGTTGTAATTCAGAATACTTTAAATATACTAGTTTGTGAATTTAAATGAGTATAATATAAATCAGGTTTTTTTTGTTTTGTTTTGTCTTTGTTTTTTGACACAGGGTTTTTCTTTGTAGCCCTGGCTGACCTGGAACTGCAGACCAGGCTGGCATTGAACTCATCGATTTGCCTGCCTCAGCCTCCCAAATGCTGGGATTAAAGACATGCGCCACCGCCACTGAGCTCACAAATCAGATTTATTTTCTATTTCTCTACCTTATCCATGCATAATAAATTCTTTTTCAAGAATTTATTATAATTATTATATTAAAATTATATATAATTATTAAAATTATGTTATCTGTGCATGTCTGAGTGCAGGGACCTGAAGAGGCCAGAATAGGGTGTTGGATCCTAAGGAGCCAGAGTTACAGAAAGTTGTGAGCAGCCACCGGTATGGGAGCTGAGAGCCGAATTCTTGTCCTCTTCAAGAGGACATACTCTTAACTGCTTAGCCATGCTCCATGTCTTTTCAATACAAGTAGTATTACTTCAAAGAGGGCAATGTTTATTGGATGGGAAAAACATTCTTGTTTCTTTTAAAAAAAATTAAGATTATAATTTATTATTATTAATTTTTGGGGGGATGAGTACTGGTTTTAACAATAGTCTAATTCCAGAAAGCTAAGTCTTTCCTAAACAATAATCTCTTCATCTTTAAAAATTTTAGTCTATGATCTTCCTACCAAACAGCTGGAGAAGAACCAACAGATAAACCTTCTAAAAGACATGTGAAAGTTCCCTTGAATAAAACGATGTTAATAAAATGGCACTTGTGTGTACCATGCACATATGTTTCTGTGTGTGCATGCACGTGTGCACATACATGGAGAAGCTGGAGGTTGCTCTTGAATGCCTTCTTTACTGTGTTCTCCAATCTTTTTAAATTTTAAAATTCTACTTATTCATTTGTTTAAACTGTTTGTTTGTTTGTTTGTTTGTGTGTGTGTGTGTGTGTGTGTGTGTGTGTGTGTGTGTGTGTGTGTGAAAGAGAGAGAGTTAGGTGGAGGCCAAAGTACAGTTTTTAGGAATCAGTCCTCTCCTTCTACTGCAGTGAGAATTCAGGAATTTTGGTTTCTTTAAAAAAAAACACAGACTGAGTCTAGGACATCTAAGGCTGTACACACAGAAAAACTCTGCCTCGAACAAACAAACAAACAACAAAACCCCACAGAAATACTATAAGCATATGTTTATAGTAATCCCAGGTGTAGGGATGTGGGGCTGCTTCACAGCAGCTGATTATGACTTGCCTCCTGCTCTAGCAGAGGTGTGGTTTTGCCAGCTGCAGATAGTTTCTGCAACTGTGTGATGTTTGGAATTCTGGGAAGTGTTCAGAGGGCATATAAATGCTAGAGCCCCAATAGGAGGTCAGTGGTTGTTGGTCATTCAGGGAGGTTGGCTGCTGTTAGTAGTCATGCTCAAAGAAGAAACAAAAGGAACAAAATCAGATTCAGGGATATCTCTGTCTATCCCCCTATCCTTCTTGCTCTCCTATCTAGTTGATAGGGGCCAAAACAAGAGGGAAATAAAGGGGGGGGGGAAGAAGAACCCACCAAGCAGCAAAGGCCAGTTACATTCTATCATATGGGTCCCTGAGATGGAACTCAGTCAGCAGGCTTGGCAGCTGTTGATCCATTCTGCCAGCCCATAATACAAAGATTTTTAACCAGTTATAACCAATTCAAAATATAAACGTTGACTGGGAATCAGATTAAAACACACATTCTTCTAAAATTTGTATTTTTGAGATAACTAAGAAGAGATTTTTTAAAAAAATAGCTGTATATCACCTGATGTTGAACTAGCATTAAATTTCTTGGAGGATAATTGAATTAAGAGAAAAACTCTGATTTTAGGAGATATACAGAAGCATTCAGGAGTCAACCATCATGATGTCTTCAATTTTCAGACTAACCAGAAAAAGTAAGTAACGTAATCAGGAGACCGGTGAGATGGTTCAGGGACTAAGAGCTCCGGCTCTCTTCCAGAAGACCTATGTTCAGTCCCCAGCACTGACATGAGGTGCTTTACAATCACCTGTACCTCCAGCTCCAGGAGACTCGCTGCCTTCTGGACCAGGCAGACACCACAGTGAGTACAGACTCATGAATGCACATCACATACACATAAATTAAAAAGTGAATAAACAAACAAAGTTCATTGTACAATCCTTTTCAGTTTTTCTGTAGTCCTGAAATGTGAAGCAGGTAGCCAGTAAGTATTTTCCCCTTAAAGCCTGTTTATAATATGGGGTTCTTCTAGCAAAATGAGAAATGTCTGCTGTTTCATCTAAAAATCATCAGGGAGAAAAACCATCAACATTTTATCTTGGGGACTTCTTCAAGAATAAGTCTATAAGCTGGTCAAACTACCCTCCCCCCAAGTCCTTATACTCTGCAGCTGAGGTGTGAGGATGGCTTTCTCTCCACACTCTGGCCCAGCTTCAGTGGTAATATAAGATCTCTCATCACCGTCAAGATGGCGGGAAAGCCAACCTCCAAAGGAATTTTGATTAGATTTTGATAGTTCAAATAACAATACTATTTTTTGAATTGAAATCTGTTCCCAAACCTGGCTTCTTACGAACTTCCAAGGACATTAGTATGTCACAAAGTATGTCTGTCTGTCCGTCTATCCGCACAGAGGCCAAAAGGTGGTACTGGCTAGAGCTACAAGTGACTGTGAACTGTCTGACATGGGCACTAGAAATCCAACTCCTAAAATCTAAGCTATCTTTCCAACCTCCAGACTAATATATTCTGTGTTCCTACTAATTACCTGATGCTACAGATACAGAGGTTAGCTAGAAAAAGGTCATGTGGTGAGGGATAAAGAGATAATAAGCAGTAAACATGGCATACACTACATTTTGGTAGAGAGAAGCATTCTGAAGAATATAAAGCAAAGCAGAAGACAGATGAGGGATTACCAGGGAGAAAAGAAGGAATGGAATAATCATTTTTGATTAGGTGGTAGGGAAAGTGAAATGAAGCTGAGGCTGCTTTCATTCCTAAAGGCACCTATTATGAGTTTTTACAGCAGCCTGCATTTTTCCCTCTTGGCCTATCACACAGTATTGATAAATACCAGTGTGGTTATCTGTCCAGTGGCTGCTTCTCCATTATTTTGAATTTCACAAGTACAGGGACCATACTGTCATTTACCACCCAAGTACCTGGCACATATCTCTCTTCCAAATAGAAAATCATGTCTTAATCTAGACCAAAGGACTCAAACATGACTATGTTTTAGATCAGGGACCAGCACACCATGGCCTGTGCGCTAGATCCAGACACCTAAGCGTAAGTGTCGCCAGCGACTAGGCGTATGCTTTAGTGGTGGAATACTTGCCTAGCACGTACAGCGCCCCATCTGTTTTCCATCCCCAACACCAACTTTTAAAATGTTAGTATCTGGCTTTTTACAGGAAAATGGTTTTCCAACCCCATTTCTGCCTCAACAGTTTTGGATTTCAAAGGTGCCTGAGGTTCAGACATCACTCAGGTACTCTGGATGCAAATGATCAAGTCTCATGCCAGATGTAGCTAATCAGGATTCTGGAGGTAGACCCAGAAGTCTATGTTCTCACAACACCTCTAGGAAGGATACTGTGAGCACACTACACTTGAGAATGAGTGCTCTGAATCCTGGGGAAATGAACAGAACAGACAAGGCTGACATTTTCATGGAAGAACCAAGCAAATGCAAGACATGCACAGGCTGTAATTATTAAAATACTGTGACTTCATAGAGTGCTTGTCTAGAATGCACAGAGCCCTCCATTCAATCCCCAACACTGTGTAGATAGACTAGATGTGGTGGTACATGCCTGTAATGCTAGTAGCAGGGAGGTGCAGTAAGGAGGAACAAAAGTTCAAGGTCATCTTCAGCTACATACAAAGTTCAAAGTCAGAATGGGATGCATGAGACCCTATCTCAACAAATTATTTTATCTATCTATCTATCTATCTATCTATCTATCTATCTATCTATCTACCTACCTACCTACCTACCTACCTATCTTCATTTTATTTTGAGACAGGGTCTCACTATGTAACTGGCTGTCCTGGAACTCAACTATGTAGACCAGGCTGGCCTCAAACTCATAGAGATCCACCTGTCTCTGCCTCTCAAGTGCTGCGATTAAAGGCATATACCAACATGCCTGGCTGAAAAATAACATTTTCTGAAAGTGGGAGTTCATGTAGGGTGGGCTAGAGTAGGAAGAATGGCACAGAAGTGGTGATTTGGAAGAGATAAGCATGATAGGAAACAAGCTGCAGAATGAGGAAGTGTAACTGAGGAGGAACAAAAGGCCAGAGGTTATTTGCACTGTGGCATTAGTAACATATGGAAACATTAGTGACACATGTAAAGCCTTGTACGCAATGCTACAATACAGATTTAAAAGTGCACTGGAAAACCGTGAGGCCACTGACAGGATGTGACTTGGATCTTAAAAAGATGGCTCTGATTGCTGCATGGACAATGAATGGCCTGAGTTAAGAACAGAAGCAAAGGCATAAGCCAGGCTATTAGGGGAGACATGATCGTAGCACAGTTTGTATCCTTAAGATGAAAATTTAGGCAAAATCAAACTCATTATCTTTTAACAATAGAAACTTGGGGGGCTGAAGAGATGGCTCAGAGGTTAAGAGCACTAGCTGCTCTTCAGAGGTCTTG